TGTACGGCTTAATTATCCGATGGGAGGTGATCTGCCAATCTGGCCAGGGCCCAACGTTTACGTACTGGACCTGCCTGGGCCCTGCAGGACATGGGGGAGACATTCATCACCAGGGATCTCTCCACCCGACAGATCGCGCCAGCTCTCTTGCTTGCTTGGGCTGCCGTCTCGACAGGCAGGCTACGTACCGTACCGGCAACGGGTCAGCAGAGCCGTTTGGGTCCCCTGCCCCCAGCCTCCATGCTTGGTCTCTCCACGCTTGGGACGGACGGTAGGTACCCATGGAGTCCGAACGCAGCGAGCAGCCTGCGCCAGGACCAGTCTGTTCCTCGAGAGTCGAGAGGTCGGATTGGTCGACTCGAGATGAGACGGTCCTTGGACAGCTTGCTCCGTCATCGCCTCCGAGTCCCTGAACGGCTCCGTTCATTACCGACCTACCCCAAAGACCCGAGGGGTCCGCTAACGCACGCCTGGAGGCCGTCTCTGACAACTACCGGCCCACTAACTGTGCACAGCTGTTCATGTGTGCTAGCGTAATCGCCTAGAAGCACCTCATCCTCAGCATCGAAGAGGCTGTCTCCTCATTGTCACACAGTCATGTGACTAGATGCCTGTCGACCAATGTCAACTATATTCCGGAGTTCTCAACTGTTGTGCCATTGGACTCTATGTCTATTGAGTCAGATAGGCTTTCATCATTTTTCTCTTCTTTTATTTTCTTCTTGCCCCCCTTCCCCCCTTCAGTGAATCTGGGTTAGGTCTCGGGATCTCCTCAGACACGCAAATGTTGCTGCCCATTGATAGCCAAGGGCCCCTTGGGCACTGGCATGCCAATCCCCCTATGCCTCGGGAACTCTAACCTGAGTAATGGCTAGTGAATATGGTGTTTTATTCTCTCACGACGACCCCAGTCTTTCTAGAATCATGTTCGTCAGAGTCTCAGATCAGCCGCCGCCACTTTGAAGTCGGCATGGTAACAGGGAGGCCAACCTCTCTTTCGACAGTTCAGTCAACGCGCTCAGAGTCTCGATGTCAATTACTCAGGGACAACTGCCTCTGGATAAACTTGGACTGGCTGAACTCTGTTAAAAACGGCACACTCTGAAACTGGCCGGATTGGCAGCACCTGACGCACTCTTGGTGGCTTGCTTTTTTCCGCGGCTACATCTCCCGTGCGTTGGGGCGGTGATGGCTTTTGGAAATCACATTCCGGCGCCAAAAAGCCATCTTGTCATGCACCAGGAACCAGACAACAGACCGCCACTGGGGCGGTTGGTCCGAAACTGATAAAGAAGGGCTGCCGTACACATCCCTTGAATCTAGATCCACGGCTCTGACAGCCACAGAGCAGCCCCAGCTCCCTTGCCTCGCGCTGTACCGCACGGTACATGCTGCACATCTCTACCTGTCTCACCTTTGCCCGAAGCCTCCTTGTCCTTTTGGCTTGTGTAATGATACAGTTGTGGAACAGAGAGGTGTGATGATTTTGGGGCCAGGGGAACAAAAAAGAGAGACGGAGTGAGACATGGCCATCGACCCGTCTACTAGCTGAGACTGGCATTTGGTTTGATGCCAGTGGTCCCGACAGCGGTTGCCGAGAGATGGTGTCTCTCGCTACAAGATGCAGGGTCACTCACTCAGTCGCTCGCAACGACAAAAAGGGACGCTTGTCGCGTAGACAAGCTTGTTTCTGTCGGTGGAGAGGCTCGAACTCTCGACCTTTGGATTACTCTGACCTGGGGTCAAATCATACTATGAGACCAACGCTCTAACCAACTGAGCCACACCGACTGGGCACTTGGTTGTTGAACCTGGTGCTTGTGGGGAGCGGCTCTCGGGAACGCTCTCAAGAATGGGAGCGAGTTGACAACCCTACGAAAAAGGGAAACGACCCCATACGGGCCATCGGCAAAAGGTTTGTCGGTGGAGAGGCTCGAACTCTCGACCTTTGGATGTCCCTGACCTGAGGTCAAGTCATATTATGAGACCAACGCTCTAACCAACTGAGCCACACCGACTAAGGCTGAATGGGGACTAGGCCCTATTCGGATGACTGGGAGCCAGACAATGATGCTCAAGAAGGGCGCAGATGTTTAGTGTCTGGAGCTCTGGCTGGGGTGAGAAATGTGGATTTCCAATGGCTGGGCTGAGGGAGGCTCGTCGGTGTGGACGTTGCTCAGCTCAACGCGGGGTGCTTCATGTTGGAGAAACGTGATCGGTCTTTGCGGGATGGCACGCCGTTGAGCTGCAACAGCTTCGGGTCAAGTCGTTAAATCGATGCGGACAAACTTCGTAGTTCGGCGTTTGCTTTGCTCGACGTGTCATTGGGATGTTGTGTTGGAGTGATGGATTGGTGTGGTTCGGCATGTGCAGTGATGCATGGCGGTTGTTGTTGAGGTTGAGTGAGGGTGGAAGATGATGAAGTCAGCACCCGTGATGGTAAGCTTTACACACAGTCAGCGGTTGGCAGTTGGAAAAAGACACGGCACAAGTTCGAAACATACACCAGTAAATGAATATTATACAAGACGAAAACAGTAGAAAACATCAGCGTCATATCAACAAACAATCCAAACAGCTAACAAACCGTTAGCCTACAGGGTAGCTACCCTCGCCTGTGAATCATCCTGGCCGCCCATCGGAGGCCCCGCCAATAAAAAAGACCCCGCACCTCCAAGTAACCCCGCCGCTCCCGTTCGGTTTTCTACCGTGTGCGGTCTCTGTGTGGCCGCATTCGCTCGGGAGCCGTAACGAAATTTTTCCTCGAGCTACTACTTTTACCTTCGTCTCTCCCACACCTTTTTGTCCTCCCCTCTCATCCTCTCTTCATCCCATTCTACCACACTCTCAAGAAACATCTTGACAGCTTCGATCTCTCAATCCATCACAATGGCTCCTCTTACTGCCGACTATGCGCTCTCCGAGTCGCACAAGAAGGTAAGCTACACCTGCCCCTCCATTGCCCCTCCAAATATATCGAATGACTGACTCACCTCTGTCCAGATGCTCGAGAAGTCTCTCCTCGACTCCGACCCCGAGGTCGCCTCCATCATGGTACGTCTTGACCCATTGGCATTGATTGACACGGCGACAATGGCTTACACCCCCCGTAGAAGGATGAGATCCAGCGCCAGCGCGAGTCCATCGTTCTCATCGCCTCCGAGAACATCACCTCCCGCGCCGTCTTCGACGCTCTTGGTTCCCCCATGTCCAACAAGTACTCCGAGGGTTACCCCGGTGCTCGTTACTATGGTGGCAACCAGCACATTGACCAGATCGAGCTGCTCTGTCAGCGCCGTGCCCTCGAGGCCTTCCACCTCGACTCTGAGAAGTGGGGTGTCAACGTCCAGTGCCTCTCTGGATCCCCCGCCAACCTCCAGGTCTACCAGGCCATCATGCCCCCTCACGGCCGTCTCATGGGTCTTGACCTCCCCCACGGTGGCCATCTGAGCCACGGTTACCAGACTCCCCAGCGAAAGTGAGTGACGGCAGACTCAATTGGACAGTTGAGCTTGGACTAACATGATGATATTCAGGATCTCCGCTGTCTCTACCTACTTCGAGACCATGCCCTACCGTGTCGACCTCGAGACCGGTATCATTGACTACGATACCCTCCAGAAGAACGCCATCCTCTACCGCCCCAAGGTTCTGGTTGCCGGTACCTCTGCTTACTGCCGTCTCATTGACTACGAGCGTATGCGCAAGATCGCCGACTCTGTCGGTGCCTACCTCGTTGTCGACATGGCCCACATCTCCGGTCTCATCGCCGCCGAGGTCATCCCCACCCCCTTCAAGTACGCCGACATTGTCACCACCACCACCCACAAGTCCCTCCGTGGTCCCCGTGGTGCCATGATCTTCTTCCGCAAGGGTGTCCGCTCCGTCGACGCCAAGACCGGCAAGGAGACCCTCTACGACCTCGAGAACCCCATCAACTTCTCCGTCTTCCCCGGTCACCAGGGTGGCCCCCACAACCACACCATCACTGCCCTGGCCGTTGCCCTGAAGCAGGCTGCCAGCCCCGACTTCAAGGCCTACCAGGAGAAGGTCGTCTCCAACGCCAAGACCCTGGAGAACACCTTCAAGACCCTCGGCCACAAGCTCGTCTCTGACGGCACTGACAGCCACATGGTCCTGGTCGACCTCCGCCAGCACAGCCTCGACGGTGCCCGTGTCGAGGCCGTCCTTGAGCAGATCAACATTGCCTGCAACAAGAACTCGATCCCCGGCGACAAGAGCGCCCTCACCCCCTGCGGTATCCGCATCGGTACCCCCGCCATGACCTCGCGTGGCTTCGGCGAGAAGGAGTTTGAGCGCGTCGCCAAGTACATTGACGAGGCCATCAAGATCTGCAAGGAGGTCCAGGGTGCCCTGCCCAAGGAGGCCAACAAGCTCAAGGACTTCAAGGCCAAGGTCGCCAGCGGCGAGGTTGAGAAGATCAACGAGCTCAAGAAGGAGATTGCCGCCTGGTGCAACGCCTTCCCCCTCCCCGTTGAGGGCTGGCGTCTGGATGCCGGCATCTAAGATGTCTCGAGTCAATCAAGATGACCCTGGGATGATGGGTGTCTAATTCAACACACACACACACGTACGCATTTAACATGGATGAGGCAAACGGCGAAACGTTTTCAACAGCATGCATTTCATCACGGCGCAATACCTTAGTTTGCTTTTCGTATATGGTCTTTAAGGGTCGGGATATCAAAAGAGGGAATCCTTCAACAAAAAATGGATTTGGCTGGAAAAACAGGTGGTGGGAGTTGGGTTTCTTTTAACAAGTTATTGATATCAAGGAGGATTGTCTTGATCTTCTCAAATCAGTTCGTCTGAGGCTTCCCTTTTTGCAAGGGACTCGGATGGACCAAGTCATACTGTTTCTTAATGAAGCAGTTGAAGCTGAATACAACAATCTTCAGCAACTCTGTGCCCTCTTGTGTCCAATCATGAGCGTGATGTACTGACTTCACATCACCAAACATATGAATCGTGTTGTTTGTTTCAAGGCTTATTAGTTGCCTACCTATTCTAATCAAGAAAGCAAGCAAGCAGCCTCTGGAACGCGCTGCCTTTAACAACAGCTTTCAAACCCGCACGGCCGTCCATCTCCATCCCCCTCCTCAAGGTATCCATCATCTTGTTCGTTGAATCTCCCAGCCGTGCGTTACATCAATCAAATCCGATCCATTCCATCACGATTTCATTCGTCCATTCCATCCTAGCCCGACCTTTCTTTAGCCAGGCTATCCAGTTTCCTTCTAGCAAACGAGAAACAAAAAAGACACACCCATTCGTCGTATATAACAAAATGCAAGAGCCCACCTGGGTCTCATCAAAGTCCAAAAAAACAAATAAAAAGGGGGTGTTGTCGGACAACAACAACAAAAAAAAACATCGGAGAGCCTCGCTTCACTTCTTCCATCTGGCGTGAGCCTTTCCGTGCGCCGGGCAGTTGTGGAAAAGAATGCCAAACCGACCACCTCCACGTTTTGCTTTTGTCTTGTCCAAATGGCCTATGTCGAGAGAGAAAAAAGAGCAAAGAAAAAAAGGGGGTAAAGAGGCCATCTCGAATAAGTCCGTCTCGCTTGGTGCTGTTGTAGTCGTTCAAAGGGTTTGCTCATCTTCCCTGTGTCGTGTAGATACTGCTTGTTTACCAAAGCCTTCTGAAGATGAAATAAAGGCCGCGAACGCATGTGTGGTATGAGTCGACTGAGATAATAGGCAAGGAGAGAGGCGACAATGCCAGCTTTCGAATGACAGCCACCATATTTGGAGGCATGAGAAATGTTTGAGAGTAAATAGATGCAGGGGAAAATAATACATGATTATTGTGAATCAAAGAGAAGCTCGATGGGGTTTGCACGCTCTCTTGTCTTGTTGGTTTCGCTGTCAGATAACATGGTCTGAACTGAGCGTAATAGTAAACATGGCCTGCCGCATCCATCTTCTCACAAAGATGGATGGACTAAACTGAGCACACATCGTATTCAAGGTTGCGAGCAACAGTGTCTTGGTAAACAAACGCCCTCTCTCCTCCACGATGCGAATTACCGGAAGCTCTGCTTGGCCTACTGTGCAATGCTCTCCGGGCTCATCATGCCGATGGTGTCGTCCTTGTCCGTCTGGCTGGCGTTGCCCTGGCTCTGAGTGCTGTCCCGCCTTTCCATGCTGGGGGCGAGGGCGAGCACCGCAGGGTTGGGCGCTGTGCCGGTTGTCGCCGTCATCGACTTCTTCTTGCCGGGAGTATTGGAGGCTGCTCCTTTGTCGGGCGAGGCATTGGCCTTGGCCTCGGCTGCTGCCGCCTCCATCTTCTTCTTCTTCTTGGCGAGCGCCATCTGCTCCTTAGGAGATCGCTTCTGAGCCGTGACAATCTTTCCACTTGCACCCAGACGAGGGCGGGGCTTCTTCTGCTTGGTTGGAAGGTCTTCATCCTCAACGAGAGGCTGATCGCCATTAGCGTGCAGCTTAGCCAGGAAGAAGTTCTTGACCAGTCCGATCTGGTCCTGAATGTTCTCCTTGGTAACTGGGTCTGAAGCCGACAAGGGATCAAAGAGATCGGTTGTTGCCTCGCCAGTCGTCTGGGTTTGCATCTGGTACTGGTTGCGCACCCGGGTCTGCAATAGATGCAGGGGCACAGAGATCATGTCGAGTCCCATCTCCTTGTCCAGACCCAGGGCTCGGAAACCAAAGAAGTCCTCGCCCAGATCTTCAGCAAAGTCGCCACTAACGAATTGGTCGCTGCCATCCTTGAAGGCACCTACTCCGTCAGCGCCCGCATCCTGAGATAGAGCGGGACGGAGTAGATCTGTGAGGTGAATCTTCATCCTCTCGTGAAGACCGCCTAGCTTGGAGCTGAGCCTGTCAATATCATCCCGGGCGTACGCTTCCAAGGAGGCGATGTCGTGGCCGTTCTCATCCAACGTGTGCAGGATTACCTCCTCTGGGGTGAACCGAGGCTGGAATTTGGACCCTTCTGCGGCCGATGCTGCCTTCTTCTCTGACTGGTTGTAGACGTTGAATGTTCGGATCAACTTTTGGAAGTAATCAGATGCGACCCCAGTGAAGGTGTCAATGGCAGAAGGCTGAAGTTCCTCAAAGCCAGTGTGATAAAGAATCTTGGCAATGGAACGCTTGAGTGCATTCTGGCAGACCTCGGGCGCCATTACAGGACCATCATCAGATATGAAATGCGGTTCAATGTCCTGCTCAACAAAGGGGTCCGAGTTGGACTTGGGGAATTGGTTCGTGTACACCTAAGCGTCATTAGTAGAGCCCATTGTTGCAAGTCAAAAGAATCTTACCTGAGTCTGAACTTGCATCTGCTTGATCACCGAAATCCTTGTTGCGAGTTTTCTTGTTTCCTGGATTTGGTGGATGTTTTCGTCCATCTTCTTGGTTAAGCGACCCTGCGGCGCAACGAAACCCCCAGCGGGAACCAGACGGAGGAAGTCCTCGTGTTGATTAATGACTTGCCCTTCTCCATCCTCGATCCACTGGAGCTTTGGGTGGATGTCGGGGATGTTGCTTTGGGCATCGTAATAGTCAGGGATCACCTTCTCCGCCTCCTCCTCAATCTCCTCAGCCAGGGTCTCGGTTGGTTTTGTCGCCCCGTCCTTTGTGGCCACGGCGGCTGAGTTTGCTTGGGCATTCGTGATGATGCCTTGTGCCTCTGCCTCCCTCTGGCGCTTCAAGAACCGTCGCATCCCGTTCTTGGTACGGACCAATGCAGGAGCCTCGACGTTGAACTTGTTGTCCTTGAAGAGCTGGTATCGCTCCTTGGCCACCAGAGCCCGGTCTTTCTTAGTCGTTTGTTTCCAGACCTTGTACTCTTCGTCCTCGAATGCTTGCTCAGCAGCCTCTCCAAACGCCGAGTTCAAAGCCATTCCGTTGAGGCTCGGTCCATCAATATCCATGGCATCGGCGTTGCTTGCGATTCCCGAGTGGCCGTTGACACCGCCTGGTGTGATTGATCCAGCGATTGGAGTGGCGAACCCGTTGCTCCCATCTACTTCAGAGCCCTCCCTGACCTTTCCGAGAAGACCGTTGACCTGTAATATGGGTTTTTGATCAATGGCTGGTGTATCTTCCTTCTCGTTATGTGCTTTTCGGGCTTTGGTTGTCCCCTTTGAGCCGGCTTTGCGGCCGCGTGACGACATGATGGGTTCATCGTCAGAGTCGTCTCCGCCGTCATCATCGCCGCCGTTCTGTTTTCGCCGCTCCTCGGCTTCAACTTCAGCCCGGGAGCGGATGACGAGGTCGGGAATTAGGGGGATGAGCTTCTCTGCCTCCTTTCTCATCCCATTCGCCATACGTCGTAGCGGGTGGTTCATGTCCTGATTGAACTTGAGGCAGTTGTCCCAGATCAGGTTAAGATCCACGACGAATTCGGCCTTGGACTTGTATGTTAGACTCTTCAACTTCTTTGTCATGGTTCCGAGGTCCATGGGGTTCTTGATGACTGGGAAATGTTAGCGGCGCGGGGACGTGGCCAGGCTTGGTGCCTCACAGTTGTAGTAGTTCGGGGCATCTCGCTTGTTGACCCTGTTCAGGAAGGGAGTTGAGTATTCGGTATGCGCCTTGAGCTCCGTCAAGACCTTTTCTAGGGCCTCGTAGAGCTCTTCCTGGTTCACATTCTCCTCGCTAGCCCATTTACTCCGATTCTTGCGGACCTCATTCATGAGAAGTCTCAATTCTGCATCAGAGGCGCGAACTTGGTCTCGCTTCATGTCTATCCGGGCGATGAGATGCTTCAGGGTGAGACTTGAAGCGCCGAGATTCGCGCTGCTGAGGGAACCTTGATTCGGGGCATGGTTGTGGCTGTGATTTGGGTGATGGTTGTGATCCATTTCGGCTTGGAGTTGCTTCTCGGAGTCTTCCAGTTGCTGCTGCTCAAGCATAGCCGCACGGTCATTTTCGAGAGTATGGAATATGGTGTGGAAGCTCCTCCGCGCTGCTTCTTCGGTAGCTGTGCGAGCCTCTTCCAGTTTCTTGATGGCATCTTCGCCGGGCTTGTCTTTGGACTTGTCGCCCTGCTTGCCGGGTGATGTCACCGAGTGAACTGGCGAGCTCCCTGATTTCGAGGGGGAGAGTAGAGTGTTGGCGGCGGCGGCGGAAGACTGCGGTTTGGGCGCAGGTTGCGCGGGCTCATCATCTTCTTCGTCATCGTCGTCGTAGTCATCCTCATCGATGGCTCGCTTTGCTTTCTTGAGCGGAGGCTCCTTGATGGGCTCGTGATCGGTCGCGGGAGGGATAATGGTGGCGGAGGGGGCCGGCAGGCGGCGGAGAGCGTTGATCGCGGCATAGTTGTATGTGCCATCCTCGCCAAAGAGCAGCGCGACCTTGTCCTCGGTCTTGCGATACAGATCGGCGAAGAGGGCGCGTCGATTCTCTTCCTCGATATCAAGTGGTGCCTCAGGCATCAATGTGACCGAGTTATCGACGGGGGTCTGCGTGCGCGCAGGAACATCATCGAGATGCGGTAAACTTCTATTGCTGTTTGCATGCTGTAAGGAGGGAGGATGCCAGACGGACTGGCCGTTGGGGAGCGACATGATGGGCCCGGGGCGATGGAAGCGACGACGGGGCGCGAGTCGCCATGCGCAACGAGATGCGCTCGCGTGCGGCCGGACCGAGGGCGATTGGGAGGATCAAGACTGCATGGGACAAAAGAGCGACATCGACAGAGATGGCGGGCCGAGTTTCGCGACGAATAGCCAAGGGGAAGGCGTTGTTTTGATGAATCGCGATGGGCCGTTTTGTCGTCTGTTCAAGAGGTGAGGTTGAGGATTTGGGGGGAGGCTTGCACCTTTCCCGAAGCGGAGACTTTTCCTTGACTGAGCTGGCCGCTGGCGCGCGCTGGACTGGGAGCCTGCTAGGCCTCTTCAGGCGGTCTTCCAGGGCGGTTGTGCTGACTTTCGCGGGGGCTCGCGGGGGAAAGGTACTGGTACCGAGGACCTGGAGAGGCCGACTCAGGAGGACGCCTGCCAAGGCACAGTGAGGTGCTGTAGGGCGATTGACGCTGTGAAAACAGTCCTCGGCCTGTTGAATCACTGCTCCGTACCTGTTTCTTGACGCGTTTAAACGACACTCGGCACGGTCTCCCCTCAGGTCGTTTGTCCGGGACGTACTCCGTACTCCGTGACTGGGGCTCCGTTTCGGGGCCGATGATGTACAAGGACCTCCGCTATCTTTGTCATCTTGGTCATTGGAACAGTCACGTGAGACGCACACAGGATCTGCACCTCCAGCACCTTGTTGGTATTGATGTTGACTGCTTGGGTTGCCCAGCATCTATTTATCCTATCCTGGATAATTTGGGTTCACCGCTGCCTATTTTCCTCATTGATGCTTCCTCAAACAATCAATAATGCCCGATTCTTAACGTCTTTCCCCCGGATGCAGCATACAAACGCAGCAGCTTGACCCCAAAGAACAAAGCCAGCTTTCTTCCACCCCAGATCAACTTCAACCAGTCACACACGAGATTGGGAACATGGGGAAGTGCCTTGCAGTGGGATGGGGTCCATGAGATCACCAGCACCAGTATGAAAAGGCACCAAATTGCCAAGTAAAAACGGAGCTACTGCGCCTGGGGCTGCCACGGCTTGCATCGAATTCCCGCGTTATCGACCCCATTTGTTACCTTTCAATTGGTACCTTTGGTGCAATCCCTGTCGTTCTGGACCTGCACCGCCACATGGCCTGATGCAAGCCACAGATGCAATGTGGCAGCTCCCTTGTTCTGTGCCTGGCCACAGCTCTATCCCAGCCTCTCCGCCGGAATAGCTGTCGTAACCTCGCCCTCACGTCCCTCCACCTTCATTCTTGAAGAGTTGCTCCAGTCAACCACACGCTACCTATCCGTTCAGGCGTCAACTTCAATCAGAACACTTTTCAGTGCACAAGACTGACGTGCTTCAACGTCACGCCCCGGCTTTGCTCAAACTCTACCTTGTTCAGCTCCAGTTATCCACCATGAGAATACGACTTCCCTTTGCAGGTACGTCATCACCACATGTTCGCGCTGATTCTCTGCTGGGGTTGGGCTCGATTGTCCTCTACCGATCGTGAATCAAGCATGGACTAGGAATGGCTTGTATGGAACTGACAGTCACCTAGGCGCATTCGTGCTACTATTACTTATCGCCGCCTACGCCGGCTTGACAACGGTTCAACTCGGTCAATATGTCAACGACAAAGTGCTCCATTTTTTCACTCTATTCGTCCTCACGACCGTCTTCTACTGGGTTGTCGACACCAGCCGCCGGCGTACCTTGAACATGACTCTGGTCGTGTGCACCCTCGTGCTCGGCGTCGGCTCCGAATTTGTGCAGGGTTTCCTTGACAATGGCCGGGACTTCGACTTGTATGATATTGTTGCAAATATCTTTGGAAGCTTTGCTGGTCTTGGTCTTTGCACCTGGTACCACAAGCGCATGCTCGAGCGAAAGAGACAACGCAGACGGTACACTGCCGTCCCGGGCGAGGACGAGGGTGATGTCGAGCTTGGGGAGGGCCAGGAGACTGGCGTCGTTGAGGCCCCTAGCCGGTCTCGAACTTTGGAGGAGGAGGTTGACAACTGGGATGAGAACCATATTGATGATGACTGGGACGAGGAGGAGAGCCCCGAGGCCCATACTGCGGCCCAAGGTGGTGATAAAAGTGCTGAAACTGGCGACTTGGGAGAAGGGAAGAAGCGGACGGACTAAGGTGGTTCTTCCTTGGTGATTTAGTCCTGGTGGATGCGCTTTTACTCACGATTGCGCTGGATCATGCTACACGAGTTTATGCCGATTGGGTCGCACGTCATCTGCTTGTTTGAAGACTTTCTTGACAGGCGTTGGTGGTAGCTCACGAGAAATAGCGGGTTTATTTTCGGTTAGGGGATTGGGTTGAGAATGGAGCTTCATTGCATTCATATACTGTTACCAACATTGATTCATTTGGCTAAGAATATTTGGAAGACTACTCTAGAGAGAGGGGTGGAAAATCTCCTCTCGGAGACTGTAGGCTTGACAATTGCTGCTCCAAGTCTGCTGAATCGTTTCCCAATAGCCCATCCCATGAAGTGAAGCTGTTTTCCATTCCCAGCTGGGGCACGAGAGCGGGCATTTGGCGTAGTCGCCTTACTATGTGGTATTGAGGATGTTGAGTAGATCCTCTGATGTTCTCGATCCCAAAATTAAACAATTAAATTTTAAGACAGAAGAATAGAATACGAGTAGAGTGTAGCTACAAGCAGGCACCTGGAAATAGGTAGACTCTTGAGCTCCATGAGAATACCCCTCCTCACCGCTCACCTCGGTGAACCCCACCTCGGTCAACCCCCCACTGACGAAATGTCACCTTGTCGCAAAACCCACCTGTACTCGCCCAACAACAGCTTTCCATACCTCGCCCTTCTCGACGGGTCCATACAAGCAACATGGCGACACAAGGCAAGGCGGCGGCGTCGAGGTGAGCGCACAAAGGAGCTGCATGTCTCGATTCCCCTGCAACCGCTGACTCTGAATAGTAAAGATGCTACGCCCACCAATCCGCGGGGCATCCCCTACGCCCCGTTCGTCGACAAGGTCGAGGACTACGTCACCACCCGAGAAGATGTCGAACCTACCCTGCGAAGCTTCCAAGAAATGATCTCGTAAGTTCTCGACGATCCGGACGGACACAGAAGCCAGAGGGCACTCGCAGGTCTTGGGGGACCCAGGCGCGGAGATGGGATAGGTGCTGACGACGGATGGCGGGCAGCAAGTACCAGTTTATGGAGATGAACCTGCAGAAGCGGATGGGGGGCCTCAAGGAGAAGATTCCCGACATTCAGAAGACCCTCGACTCGGTCAAATTCCTCAAGCTAAGAAAGGTTGGGACTGTGCAACTGCTTCAAGATACCCATGACTGACAGGCGCAGGAGGACGATAAGCCGATAGAGACGACGTTTGAGCTTAACGACACGCTGTATTCGAAGGCGAATATCCCCGCGACTGAGGAGGTCTACATCTGGCTTGGGGTACAGTCACACACGTGACACGTTCATGTGTATGAAGCTGACTCGGTTTAGGCCAACGTGATGCTGTCATATCCTATAGATGAGGCCGAGACGCTGTTAGGCTCGAAGCTGTCGACGGCGAAGCTGAGCTTGTCGAACTGCGAGGAGGACTTGGACTTTCTTCGTGAACAGATCACGGTATGTATACTCACACATGTACGCCCATGTTCCACAGTATAGTTGCTAATCAAGTACTTGTAGACCATGGAGGTCGCTATTGCTAGAGTATACAACTGGGAGGTGGTCCAGAAGCGAAAGGACAAGGTCGAGGAGGAAAAGGAGAGCAAGAAGAACAAGGAGTCACAAGATGACTGAGAGAGAAAAACACTCAAGGCTGGTTCCTGGTGTATCTACGGAAAGCCATATCATACAAAAGTAGAAGTAAAAAAGGAAAAGGAAAAGTGACTTTACCTTGTTTTCTTTTGGACTTGGGAGCTATGAGATGAATCGGAAGAGGTCTGCGAATGAAAAGGCAGATTTCTGGTGAATCTATATGAAACCAACGCATAAATGGACATGGAACCTGAAAACCCCAATAAAGGGACTCTACCTATTCTCTGTTTCATCCTTCTCGGCCGAGTACCGTCTCGTGAAGCCGAGTGATGGAGCTTGACTTCCATCGTCAGGATTGGCTGTCAATTAAAGTTGGGACCTGGTAATCCAATAACCCCGATTGGCGCATGCAAATTGTTCAACGTCCCGCGGTCGAGTTGTTTCCATCAATAGATCCCGGATTACACGAACGGACAGCCCAGTCTCGCTCGCCCTATCCCCTCCGATACAAAATTTCCGGCTTCGGAGACATGAGGGAGAAATGCTGAGAAGCGCCACTCGGGAGTTGAGGCGAGGGTGGCAGGTGTCGCAAAATGTGACAATCCATGCCAAGGTACGTTCGAGATCCTTGCTCGGCAGAGCATTGCGCTGACAGCAATTGTTCGTAGATTGCTTGTTCCCTACACCCATACGAAACCTGCCGATATGCGTCGACGTCGGACAGCATCGAGTCTGAGATACTCAGCGGCCGCCGAACCTGGGACCACCGCCCCATCCCTGGGTTGAGGCAACAGCTCGCCGCCGAGAAGAAGCGCGAAGTTATCGATCAACTGGAAGACCAGGAGCGCCATGAATCGAACCGAGTGCAGAAGACTCGTCGAACCGGACCGGTATTCGAGCAGAACTACCTGCGCCACAAAGTCGAACGGAGACTGAAGATGCAGAAAGGATGGAGCGATCAGAGTCCAGCTGTTCTCCTCCGCCAGTATCTTGCTACCGAACGACCGAACCGGAGCATGCAACGACAAATCGCCGCTATCCGCAGCATGCGCCTACCGATTGTCCTGATTCAGATGAACCTGTATCAACATGTCGAGGCCGATCCAGAGAATAACGAGGACATCGCCGACTTACTCCCTCCGAAGGAACAATGGGACAAATTGATGAGCGTCCTTCATCACAACGGGCACACAGAAGAGAATCTGAACAAGTACATGAACATTCTCTTTGCCGAAACTGATGAAGAGAGGTGCCGGCTATTCTTGGAGGATGATCAGCCGAAGCCCACCTTTATCCTCAGTTATCTCTTGAGGCTGAGCTCCTCTTTCACTGAAATTTCGACTCTGGACGGCATTATTCAATACGTCAAGGAGCGACTACGAGACACAACCGACAAGGTTGAGCCCACATCTGCTGTGAACAAGTACGCTGGTCGGGCAGCGACAGCCATGAGGAAGTTTGCACCAGAGGACTTCACACAGATTATGGAAAGGTTGGCTTTTCACTGTCGACGAATAGAGCCGAGGCGGTTGATGGAATTGGCCGATGCCGCGGCGGATTTCATCATGCGTTATGAAGCCAAGTCTGGAAATTCCAAAGAGACGTATCACGCTCAATGCAAGTTTTTCAACACTGCGCTCAATGCTGTGGCTGGACGTACGGGCTCTGGACCACAGCGCAAGTCAATACCCTACGCTTACATTTGGGAGGCCCAGCGGATTCTATTGGGCATGTCCGGGGGCCTTCCGACGGCGCTGTTGGTGGACAGGACCGGATTCAAGGCAATCAGAGCGGTGCTGGCCGGAATGCCCAAGAACAGGGACGAGATCCATAGCGCAAGACGCCATTCACAGACTTGGCCGCCTTATCTACAACCGGGAGACGGTATGGACGAGGTTATGGAGCCAGACGACAGCTGGACCCGGGTGGTTCGGGCAGGAATGATGATGCAGGAAGCTGGTTTTCCTAAAGGCGAAGTTGACTTTGCACTCGATGCTCTGCAAGGTATGGCCCATGATGGGACACCTACAATCCAGCAGCGGAGGCAGCTTGGCCCAGATCGCGACCTCGCTGCTTGGGCGGCCTCTATCAAGGCAACACGAAACGCTCATGAAGCATGGGAGAGGTTCAGGCACCCCCCAAAGCCTGATATGAAACCAGGTCTGGACGAATATGCTGCCATGTTTCAAAGGCTCTTTGCTCGCGAAGCCGACCCTGATTCAGGCAGTCTACCAGGAGACACTACGCTCAACTATCCCACGCAAGAGGAGGCCAACCTGACGGAGCTCGAAAAGTCTCGGCTGCAACCCCCGACACCGGCGGAGCTTTACGGGATGATGAGACGTCAGAAGCTCAGGCCAGACGAACAGTGCCTCACGATTCTGGTGGCGAATGCTCACAGTCTCGATGAGGCCCACGAGTATCTGCTTGATGCTAGCACTCAACAGCAGAACTATGCGAACCTGACATCACCCAGCCCGATAGCTGATGCACTCAAGACCATTCCTCTCCCTGTCTTCTCGGCATATATTGATGTCTGCTCCAAAAATGCCAGCTACAGAGGTCGGAATATGCTACGTGCCATTAGGTTGGCCGAGGCCCGTCTCAGCCGAAAAAACCAGAATTGGGCCTCGTATATTTGGGCCCCAATCCTAAAGAACCTGGGTCAGCATCACTATGGCCTGAAGCTTAGCCTCGAAGCCCAGCTTCGATTGCTGCTGCACCTTGTGGATCGCATTGAATCTACACATGGCATGACGCTTCTCCTGTTCAACCGGTTCACACTAACCCTGCGCAAGATCTTGCGACGGGAGGTGGAGAAGCTGTCGGCGGCTGTGGAAACAAATAGTGCTGACCTGAGCGCGCTCGCCGTTCTATACGACATTGGCGCTGAGGAGGCGGGTGTTGCGCCTAGAAAGGTGAGCCCGGTGTGGGATGACTCGGCACTGTCCCTGATCAGGTCGGCTGGTTCACGAATAAAGGCCTTCTTTTACGGCCTAGTGCTCCAGGAGCAAGACAGGGTGCGGCAGGGGGAGATTACCGATGTGTCGCTTCTCGATGGCATGAGAGCACGTCGAGATCCCGTGATGGCACCACACGCTCACGATCTGATGCTGGCGCTGGCCTTTGCGGGAGAGTTTGAGGAGATGGCCGAGGTGATGAAATGGCTCATCCGAGAATGGAGCCCTACAAGGCTGCGGGAGGAAATGGAAGATCTGAACGAGATGCCCCGCGATCTGGACATGCTTGAGACGCTGTGTGTGTTCCGCGCGTTTGCGGAGCCCATGATAACACAGACGAAGCTAGACGAGGTACTAACCGACTTTAACACACACGGGGTGTATTGGGAGTGGCCCGACGATGTAACGGTGGAAGGGTACCTAGACGGACGGCATCACAGTAACTCTAATCGGGAGCTGAGCGAGGTTCTCCGATGGATACGGCGAAGAAGGACGACGCGACGGGCAGAGAATGAGGGCTGGGCCATGGACATTGGCGACCTAGAGGTGGACTGGACAGAGACCAAGCGAGAGGCTCTGGATCCACAACACCTGAAAGACCTTGGGAAAAAGGCTTATAGGTCTGATTAGGCGACATGGTGGAGGCGCAATTGGTATAGACGGTGTGGCTGTTACTAGAATACCTGGAGAACTGTACGCTGGGAGCATCTGAACGGTGGCATATAGACGCGGGTGGCGTTCCTGACGCGTAAAAATACTGTACGAAATGAACTGAAATGAGCATGAGGAAAGCAGGCAAAGCATCCATGGAATGGAACCAAGCAAGGGCTGAAACAACGGCAGAGCAGAAGAAGAAACGACATGTTCGTGTCTTTAGTAGCTTCAATGCTAAAAAGACTCAGCCTCGACTGGGTAGTTTGGGTCTACGGTGAAGGGCCTTGGGCGGCTATGACAGTTTGCGGCGAAGGATGGAGTCAGGCCAAGCTTTTCGGGGGACGACAAGCTCGACATCCGTAACCATTCAGGATATGCATCCGGGATCAGGGAACCAAAAGGGGAATTGATTGGGTTGATCCGGTCCAGACCGCGCAGGCCAGCGTGTTAGCCACAGAGCCACAAATGGGTCGACTGGCCCGAATAAGGCCTGACCTTTGTTCTTTTCCGGCTAATGTTTGAGGGGGCCCAGCCATCGTATCTGCTCGGGGTGAGGGCATCATCAGGCATGCGACAGGTGGGAGTAATCGATTGGGCTGGGGTTGTGCAGAGCCGCCCGTAACGCAGGTACAGTGGGGAAGGCATGATTGGCCGACAGAGCACGCCAAATGCTGGCCGCTACCGGAGGGGCCCTAATGTAGGTACCCTAGAACCTGGGTAAAACCCACGCTAGCGGCAGGGGTGCCAATTATAGCGAGCCGCGCGTGTGGGGTCATGGAAGTTGCGAAACAGCGCGCTTAAGCTTTCAAGGCAGGAGCCCGACACGTGATTGGTCCAGAGCTGTCCGACAGTTTCATTGCTGGGTCCCTAGGAACCCCAGGCTCTGTTTTGGGTTGGGCGCCTCGTGAGACTGGCGACTGGACAAGGCGAGATGGACTGGCCACCAGGTGGCATGGGTGAAGCTTCTCGCTGCACGATACGATGAGATGGTATCCGACGCCCCATGAGACGAGTTTTGCTGCCGCCGTTGTCGTGATGCTGGGCGATGTGTCTTGGCCCCGGGGGGTCAAGGGTCAGGTCACAGCGCAGCAGAGCGGGCATACATACCTCACTAACACCTCGAGATATTCTCTGAATGGTTTCCTCTCAATATTCTTTTCCCTCTGTTTCCTTTTGTCTCATTATTTCCTATCTATCTGTGCAACTCTCTTTCATCTATCTCTTGTTCAACATCTCTCTTTCACGACACGTTGACATCACCAATCTCTCTTTCACGGCTGTTTCAAAAAAGGTTTCATTTCTTTAGTGTATCAGCTCCCTTTGTCATCCGCTGTGACAAAGTCGTCCTCTATTCCCTACCAAGGAGTTCTTTTGTTGTTGAACATTGACTCATTGACGCGAACCTCCTTTGATCGATTCGAGAACAAGTCCGTTTTACACTTAATTGGCTCTGGGGAAGGCGAAAGCGAAAAGAGGTCGAAAAAGACCTTTGGTGTCACTTACGAATCTTGGATCTTATACCTTTCGAAACGAAACGAAATTTAACCCGACGAACGAACGAACTACACGGCCGAACCTTTTTGTCGATTTGACCAACACGTTCCTTTCTTTTTTTTTACCCTCTCTCATATTTTCCCTTCGACTGTCCGTATAATACTTTCCGAAATGCGGTACAACAGGAATGGGCTCGTTGTAGCCCTGTCCTTTCTTCTAGCTGCTCAGTCCGCCCAGGCTGGCCCTATCTGGACTGGCAGAATGTACGTGGGAACTCGGTGACTGAGAACACGGCGTTTCTAACTGTATCGGCAGAGCCCGAAGAGCTCCTGGAGCTTTTCTAGATATTCGAAATGAAAACACACAAGTTGCCCCTACTGCGGCTGACCATGGGTATGTATTCATTGCTGCGAAAGTGTGAAGCATCATGACTTACACGAGGTTTCTAGGTCCGATGGCTCAGGCCAAGACAGCGAGTCGACCCCGCGACCCATTTTCTCGACTCTGGACTCAGACATAAACATCCCTCAATCCTTCGTCTCTCAGTCTCCGAACGGCGAGAAGGATGCTGAGGGCCCTGCAGAACCTGTCGAGGTTATCCCCATCGACCAGACCACCGATGCTCCCGCGCCGACGACAGTTGCCGAGGAGACTTCAGAAAAGTCTGTGGAGCAACCTGCTTTTACTCAGAACCCCTCCGAGGCTATCGTAACGACTTCTATTGTCCCCAAGGAGCCCGCATCCGATCCTCAGACGTCTTATGCTCCGGCCGTAACGTCTTCCGCTGCGCCTGAGGAACCCGCCAGCAGCGCGCAGGAATCTTCTCCAGCGATTCTGACGACTTCTATTGTACCTCAGGAGCCTGCATCCGACTCACAAGAGTCTTCTGCCCCAGCTGTGACTTCCTCAGCCGTAGCTGAGGAGCCGGCTGGCAACACGCAAGAGTCTTCTCCTGCGATCGTAACAACCTCTATTGTTCCCAAGCAGCCCGAGTCTGAATCTCAGCAGCCTTCCGCTCCCGCCGAGACGACTTCAGTGGCGCCTGAGGAGCCTGTGTCTAACACACAAGCTTCTTCTGTCCCCATCTTGACAACCTCGATCGTGCCCAAGGAGCCCGTCAACACTCAGCCCGCGTCCTCTTCTGCCGAGGAGCCTAATTATACTACATCTGCCCCCGTCGAGAATGAGACGACGAGCAAGGTTGAGACTTCCAGTCAGATGGCTCCTGGTTCTGAGCCCGCTGTGGGTGAGACCACCGCCGCCGCAGAGGTTCCCACCATGTCTGCTCAGAAGCCAGAGGCTACAGGCACAGAGAGCCTTCAGTCTAGTGTTGACCTCGGCGACATGAAGCCTTCGTCTGAAGTCAAGACCGAGTCTGCTCCAGCTGAAAAGACCACAGCCCCTGAGGCGCCTTCCGCTCCTGCTACCTCGAGCGCGCCAGCCGAGGAGCAAACCCAATCGGAGCCGCAGTTCAACACGATGCCTCCTCCTGAGCAGGCAACTTCTGCTGCTGAGACATCTCAGGCTTATCCTCCTAGCTCCACTGCTGCCGTGTCTACTGAGTCCATCGCCAAGCCCAGCGAGCCCGCCCCTGCCTTCTCCACGGTCGTGCCCCCTGGAGGCTCAGCAGTTGTGTCTGAGCCTGCTACTGCTACTACTAGTGTTGTTTCCGTGGTTGAGCCCAACGAGCCCGGTGTCCCAACTTCATCTGCCGCTCCAGCTCAGCCCGAAACACCTGCTACGACTTCTGAAGCAGCCCAGCCCGACAGCCAAGCCCCCACGTCTCAGCCGGCGGAACCCAACAACCCTGTCCCAACTTCTGAGGCCAAGGCTTCAACTGCTCCGGCTGAGACCTCGGTGGTTCAGCAGCCTGATACTCCGGCCCCGAGCTCGCAGCCAGCACAGCCCGAGAATCCTGCCCCGACCTCTGAGGCTCAACAGCCCAGTGCTCCGGTTACCACCTCTGCTGCTCAGGAGCAACCTGATGCTCCGGCTACATCCTCTGCGGCCGCTCAGCCTTCAGTTCCTGACTCCAACACCAAGCCCGCCGCTGCTCCTCCCACCAGCACCATCGCTGTCTCGGACCCATCCTCCCCTGAGACCTCATCGGCGAATAAGATTGTTCCCACTGGAGAGCCTGACCCAGCTGTGCCGACTGTCAACCCCGGTGGTATTCCCACGGGAACCAGTACCATCCCCGCCGCTGCCTACGCGAGTAACGTGGTCAAGGCACGAGAGTACAATGAGAACTTCGCCGGTCTAACCCCTGAGTCCGCCTGCATGGCTGGCCAGGCTGCTTGCATCAGCGGTCAGATCGCCGTCTGCAACAGCGCCGGTGCCTACGACCTCCGGGCCTGCGGGAACGCTGAAGAGAAGTGCTTTGCTCTACCTATGTCCAATGTCCCTGAAGGTGTTCGAATCGCCTGTGAGGACCCAACGACGGCGGCTAAGATCCTGGGTGGAAGCCCCAGCAGTGGTGGCGGTAACAGTGAGAACGGCCAACCGAGCAATGGAAATGACGAGGGCCTGCCCGCAACTACATCGGTGGCTCAGCATAAGCCTAACCCTCCCGTGGTGACTGTCACTACTATCGTCACTATCGACGATGGCGCTCCTCAGCCGACCACTGAGCCTGCCGCCCAGCAGCCTTCTCAGCCCGCTCAGGAACAGCCAAGCCAGCCGGCCAGCGAGCAGCCTGCTCAGCCTGCTCCCGTGCAGACGGAGTTTCCTATCAACCATGTGTCAAGCCAGCCTGTTCAGGAGCAGCCTGCTCAGCCAACTCAACCTGCTCAGGAACAGCCTAGCCAGCCCGCTCAAGAGCAGCCTGTCTCTCAACAACCTACACAACCTGCCCAGGAACAGCCGGTTCAACCCACTCAACCCGCCGCTGAGCAGCCGTCTCAGCCAGCCCCTGAGCAACCGAGTCAGCCAGCTCAAGAACAGCCTGTCTCTCAGCAGCCCACTCAACCTGTTGCAGAGCAACCGACCCAGCCGGCCCAACCTGTTCCGGAACAGCCAACTCAGCCTGCCCAGGAACAGCCCGTTCAACCCACACAACCCGTTGCGGAACAGCCCTCGCAACCTGTTGCAGAGCAGCCTTCTCAGCCTATCCCCGAGCAACCAACTCAACCCGCCCCGGTTCAGCCTACCCAGCCGACTCAAGAGCAACCTGTTCAACAGCCAACACAACCCGTAGCTGAGCAGCCTTCCCAGCCAGCTCAAGAACAGCCCGCTCAGCCGTCTCAGCCAACTCAACCTGCTCAGGAACAGCCTGTTCAACCCACCCAACCAGCTGCTGAACAGCCTACTCAGCCGGCCCAGGAGCAGCCAGTTCAACCTACTCAGCCAACTCAGGAACAACCAGTTCAGCCTACCCAACCCGTTGCTGAGCAGCCTTCTCAACCCGCTCAAGAACAACCACCTACATCCGCTCCCGTTGTTGAGCAGCCCACTGCCGCCCCCTTACCCGGCACAACTCTCACAAAGTCTATCAAGGAGCCCGGCGACACCCAGCCAACCTCTGCCCCCTCCAGCGATGAGCCCACGCCCATCGAACTCATCCCCATCGACGGCCTGGAAAGTAGCGCAGCTCCGGCCCCGGCGGCCACGGAAGCAGCTAATGCCGGCGATTCCCAAGAGAAGGACAAGGACAAGACCACCACCAAGAGCCCCGAGAAGGGCCAGGAAAAGGTGGCCATCACCAGGACCGGCGACGACGCCCACGCCACCACCATCATGGTCGACGGCGTCCCCACCGTGTCCGTGTACTTTACCGTGACGGTGACGGAAAAGGACCAGCCTACTGCCACGGTCACCGAGAAGGAGACGGTGACGCTGGTGATTAGCGCATAGAAGAGTGGCAACAATCTCTGGAAGATTGTTTTCTCTCCTAGGTATTGTGGTAATGAAGTTGAAGTTGTAAATGTTTTGATATATATCTCAGCGGGCTTTAGGTTTGGTTCTTTGTATAATTGAGGAGGTTTTTGAAATATTGAACAAGAACAAGAAAACAATCTTCAAAAAACATATCAGTCTATTCCTTCCGAAGCTGAAAATAATTAGTTTGTACCTTTACTCTGCAAAGGAAGCGAAGAAAAAATAGCATCGACTAGAATTCTTGATCACATCGCAAAACAGCTTAATAGATTTCTTTGACCTGTTCACAACCCGTTCTTTGTTAGTACCAAGGTGACATTAAAGAGTAAAACATGTTTGATTCCAATCTTTGCATCATGGAAACCTTTCAGTACGAGATGGTAATTCTATGCTAATCATCATGAACCCGTGAACCTCGGTTCCTTTACAATCTCCTCGCCTAGTCCTACAAAATAAACCCATCACCTCTTCCCAGAAGAGGCCTTCTTCTATAAGCGCAGATGGGAAACCGTTGCGCCCGCTACGAAACATATGTATATGTTAAAATAAGACCAGAGACCTCCCAAGCATGCAACACCGAAGATATCATGATTCAAAGACCAGCCCAGCTCAACCTGGATCATCCATCCCACAACTCCTGCTAATTACTGCAATAAACCCCCAGACCGTATAACGCCTGCCGCCCTCGAAACCAAGTTTGGCCACCCTTCAGCTACTTGGCAACCCCAATCGCCAGGTTCGTGCTGCTTTGCTTGGGGTCCGGTAGTGAATCATCGATGAACGGATCGCCTACCTCGAGCCTCTTAGCTGCGGGCTCATTGCCCTCATCATCAACGCCATATTTGTCCTGCCATAGCTTCCGCATGACCTGATAGATGAATAAGAACTGAGGCTTGCCCTGAACCATTCCTACACGCTGTTCTCGGAGGCTATCGACCGTTTCATAAACTAGATCGGGCCCTTCAGTGGGCTCATCGTAATTTTGAAACGTGCCCAGTTCGAGTTCGCGCATGAGGTGTTCGAGGGTGATGAAAGTACCGGTTCGGCCCACACCAGCACTGCAATGAATAATGCGTGGGTTGGTGGGTGCGCTGAGCTCCCGAGATAGTCGCATGAGCTCAAAGAAGCCATCGAGATCTTCAAGTTCGGGTACGCCAAAGTCAGGCCATAACCGGTAGAGCAGGTGCCACACGACTCGGGGCTCATCTTCGTCCTTCAGCTGTAAGAGTAGCTTGCGCTTCTCAATAGCACCATCCGCAAGCTCTTCATATGAGTCGTACGTAACTTCGCCCTGCCAGTCATCGCCCCATGCATCATGCTCATTCAGAATCAATGTTGGCTGGTCTTCGTTGTCGGGAAAGTATGGGTGACACTTGATGACTCCGCCTTCACACATGGTGGTCAGCTGCACGATCACGGCAGGCGACGCCATCTGCTCAGCGATCATACGCCAGACATATTCGATGGATGGCGGGGTCGGACCCTGCATGGCGATATAGCGGAGTGGCTCCCGGCTCGGGTCCGAGGGCGAGGTGAGGACGATCTCGGAAGCATTGACGTAGTCGAGTTCGTTCGTAGGAACTTGCAACCTAATACGGTTGTGATTCCATGGTTTGATGTTGATGTAACGGTCCATGACACCCTTCTCTTCCACATCGAGTTGCTTGAAGTGTCCCCATTTGAAGTCTTCGTCTGCTTCGTTTCTGCTGCCTTCAAGTACTCGATCACGTTCGGCCCACGTCAATTCCTGGAACTTGAAATCGATATCTGATGAGGTTCAGTACTTGTATCAATGCGTATAACACCAAAAATCACATACCCTGCATCGAAGAGTCCAAGAAGGCAGGAATCCGGGGACCGGTGCCATCCTGCCTGCTCAGCGCAACACCTTCCGCCGTGGCGGGCCGACTCTTTATGCCGTCGTGGGTGACGACGGCCGGAGGAGGACTAGAAGGCAACTCGACAGGAGGACTATCGCGGGCTCGCTTGGTCGAGCCGCGCAGACGGAAATTTCGGAAGGCAGCCCTCTTGGAGAGCTTCGCAGGGGGTTTCTGGGTCTGAATCTGTAGTCCCTGCTGTTGCAGCTGAAGGTTTGCGGCCTGAAGCTCGGAACTGGCGATACTATCGACGGTGTCGCTGCTTGAGCGCTCGACGGCAGTCTCGATCGTGGGGTTCTTGGGTTTGCGCCGGAACTTGGGAATCCTGTCCATGGCGCCGAAAGTCGGAGCAGACGGATGCGACGTCCTTGATGAAAAGGTGCGCAAGACGCCAGGAGCAGGACTTGACAATGTCGCGAATCGGGGTCGGGATGATCGAGTTGCCGGGAGCAAAGGAGAAGGAGATTTGCGCGCAAGAAGGGGAAAAGCGTCGGGTCCCTCTCGCCGGTGGAGGTCGGGCAGGGATCGGATCCGCGTCAATGAGGAGGGGGCAGAGACGGTGCTTGAGTAATCTTGAACTTGGGCCGAACGTTTGATAGTGGCGTAATCGTCGGCGAAACGGAGGTGGGTGAGAAGAGAATCAAACGTGATTAAGGAACGGAGAGGAAGGGCAAGGGAGGAAACAAGAGGGGGGAGAAGAGGAAGAAGAAGGAGAGGAGAAGAAAGGGAAGAAAAAGAAGAACAAGAATGACGGCGGAACGGACGAGGTGAGTCGCGATGGTGGTCGAGATTCTCACTGCCCGATGCGGCGCCAACGAAGACGGGCCCACGAACAGCAGCAGCAACAGTCACAGTCACGGCGGCGGTAACAGCTGCAACAGAAACGTGACCGTGGCCGCGACCGTGAATGTGGAAAGAGTCGTCTGTGCCTTTGCCTTTGCCTACACCCGTCCCTGCGCCTGTTCCAAGAATACATGCATCCGATCCTCGCCTCTTGTGGAGACCAGGTTTACCGGGTGAATCTGGTCATGGGTAAGGTTGGGCCTGTAAATGATGTGTTCTGCAGAAAATGGCTTCCTGTTTATTGTCCTGCGTACTACTATGTCTCGCGGCACGTGCTCATGCCCCCCGATCCCGTGGTTCTGGGCAGGCACGACTTGTTTGATCATGCAGACCAGACCAACATGATGAGAGGCAAGAGCTCCTTCCGAAGCCGTCTTCGGGAATTGGGATAGGCATGAAATACCGAAGGCACGTTGGTAGAATTATTTGTGGCTCCTGCTTGCCTGTTTTACTGCTGTACCACCACCGTAGGGCAGGGCCGGGGATAATTTTAGGCGCGAGCTGTCTAAAAGTAGTTCTATTTTAGGCTGGGGACCCTTTCTCATCATTTCCGATTCTTATTAACGTGGATATTCAACATTCAACAAGTGGCCTCTTACAAAACGATTCTACTCCTTGCGCCTCTCCTTTCTTGCCGATTACATGATATTAGCGATCTCGTCGCCACATGCACATCACGTCCACCTGAACTTGGCCACTCGTGCTTGCGCGGCCAGTGAGACTCGTGTTGGCCCAAGTTCCCTTTCTTGGAAACGTCGGATCCCCCCCTGTTTAACTTTCGGTTCGCTGGCTCTCGCGGCAGTTTCAGAGGTTGCGTGCGCGGGGTGATCAAAAATAGGTGCAGACGTGCGGAATCCTATCGATCTGGATCCTCGATGGCGTTCTCTTTCATTCGTGCTGGCTGCATTCCCTTGATAGGTTCGTAGTGTCCACCACGTATCAGGTCCATCTATGGTGAGACATGTCAACAGGTGCCTCGTGACCATTCCTTCAACATGCGTGCATCACGAATGTACAATATCCATACTCAGATGAGTTGGTGTGTCAATTTTCAAGGCATCTTGTGCCAAGTTTTGTACAGAAGAGTTGGATCGTTGCAAAATCCGTCCCCAACGCCCCATTCGTGTCCTCCAACCGGGACTTACAAGTACATGATTAGATGTCTTAAAATACAACATATCGATCCTTCTCGTCTGCAGGATCTCGTAGCCTCCTCGCCACAGACTGCTTTGCTTTCTTAGACAGAAGAGTATACACCAGTCACATACTTGCCACACTCAATCTTCTGCTCAAGAGACACCTTGCGGCCCTTGCCTCCATCCAGGCGAATCGTTGTTCGAGGTGTTACGCATAGCCGGTGAAAGTCAGCGCTGTTGTCCTTGCGTGCCTCTAGCGCGCTGTCCAACGCCCCGATATACGCGGGTGCATTCAAATTGGTTCGCTTGCCCGTGCCCAGCTGATAGTGTTCGTTTCCGCCCCAGAACATGACGTCGGATCCCCAGTTGGTTGCGTTGGCACTCGCTGAGCCTGAAACGGACGTCTCGGTGACGTTGTCCATGATGACTGAACAGTGCGTAGAGCCCACAGATAGAGACTTGAGCTTGATGGGGCTCATCTTGTTCGTCTTCTCGTCAAATTCGAACAAGGACGAGAGACTCTTGACCTTGGTCGGCTTGGCTGAGACATGCGACCACCGCCCCGTACCTAATGTGCCATAAACTCCCTGGCCACAAGCCCACAGGTCTGCAGTCAACAAAGGGAGCCTCTTGCTCGGGGCAAGGGCTTTCAAGTTGGTAGGCGTCTCTGTTGCCTTTGCATCCACAGTGAAGAAGGTGTTGTTTCCGCCTGCAGCGATAGTCTTGACTGTTGGAACAAGTCCACTGCTGCTGTAAAGTGTGTTGACAGGCATCATGACTGGTGTGTCAGAAGTCAAGAGTCCATGGTCGGTATCGATTCCAAGCTGCCCAAAGGAGTTGTCACCAAATGTGAAGATGCGTCCAAGTTTGTCCAGAATGACCGAATGGTAATCGCCAGTGGCAACCTGAGCCACATCAAAACCTCTCAGAGTGATAACTTCATGGGGTTGATCATATGGGCCCTTGGGTCGGTTGCTCCAGCTCAACCCAGGGACACCCATCTGACCTTTGGAAGGAAACTCCAGAGCACTGGACGCAGCAGAGAAGACACGGCCCTTGGATGTGAGCATGAGGCAGTGCTCCAGACCGCTGCTGATGTCGGTCACAGACTCTCCGTAAGAAAGACCAGATGGTGTCAGGTTTCGAAAGTTGATTCTCTCCTTTCCACCACCGGATCCCCAGATGGACCAAGAACTTTTCTGCTGTTCCTCCTTGAGACCGCCTTCTTGGTCATCTCGAGAAGAGGGAATAGAGTAAACCTTGCCGTTGCGAGACAGGGCAATGATTCGATCCAAAGAGACGTCGATCTTGACAAGGTCCTTTCCTGTGAGGGTAGCAACGGGAGAGGGGTCCTCTTTGTTGTAGCCGAGTCCCCATTGAACTAGATCACCCTTCTCTGTGACAGCAGCGCCGAAAACTGATGTGAGCTTCAGGTCTCGAAGTACTTGGTCATCGAAATAGGCAATTCGGTGAGGTAGCTTCACATATTTATCATTCGACTTGGGGTCGATAACCTTGCCGATATTGGAACCCCATGCGTAGACGCCAGGATGTTCCCAGCTATGCTTGACTTGGAGATGCTGCGAGCTAATAAGATCTCGGTTCTCTTCCTTGGAACGTGCCTTCTTGCGAGGCTTCTCAAACTCGACATCGGCTTTGGAGGGAACCTTTTTAGCCGGAGTCTCGGGAGGCGAAGCAAATTGTTCCTTGAGCGTGGGATAGTAGTAAGCTCCAGCAGCTGCTGCGCCAAAGATGGCTGCGAATCCAACAAATTTACCTCCGCGGCGCCGAGGACCCCGGGGGACATTGCTGGCGTGACGAACCCATTGGTGCTGAGTCGTGGCGATGAACTGGGGGCGAAGGGCAGCTCGCCGAAGAGCAGTTTGAGAAGCGTTCATGTTGTGAACGCTTAACAATAGACAATCAACTCAATGCAACTCGGAAGCTTTTTTCATGAAAGGGACAAGTTGCATTGAAATTGTCGTCAGTGAAGTCGACTGCTAATCAAAAGGAAAAAAAGGTTGTGAGGTCATAGAGCTGAAGCTCTAACCGTACTGGAGGTCAGCAAAATTCTGTGGACTGTGGCAGGTCGATGTCATGAAAGCCACAAAGGGCTTCAGCCACAGATTCAAGCACGCGCCACTGCAGGGACTAGCGGGGCGCACGGACATCCCCACGCCGTCCCGCCATGCCATGCCATCGGCGCCTCGGAGCTCACGCCTCCGACTTGAACTCCAACGCCTGCTGCGTGGCTTCTAGAAGACCCCAGCGAATCTCGACGTTTGAGCTCAAGGGAGCTCTATCGACATCATGTACGAGGATTCGTGGTACAGTATCATGCCCGACTTGGGCAGTCGGGGCCATTCGAGTAGCCACAGTCAGAGTCATGGACATCGTCGAAAGGAGTCGCTGCTCCAGCAGCCCAATGTAGGTCTCCCTCGTATTGGATTCGCACCCCCACCATGTTGGTGAAGCTCACAAGATGGTCACAGGAACCTGGACAGATATCCGAGGTCGTAGCGCCAATGCCCAACGTTTACGAAGAGATCGAGAATACCAACACGCCCCCTGAACCTACCGTCATCCGTCGAGCGAGCTCGTACTCGGACTTATATCGAGTGGCGCAAGAACAACTGTCCAAGGACGGAAGGCCACGACACAGGAAGACGGATAAGAATAATCGATCATGGGAAGCCTTGCTGCTCCCCGACTCTGGTGTTGAGACAGAATTGCATGAGCCAAAAGGTCTCGAGTCGTACGATGAACAATTACTCGACGCCAGCCAACAAGAATACCTGTATGAACATTGCTCTACGGCCGCACCTTGACCTAGACCTGACTGCGCTTAGGTTATATCGCGATCAGCTTACCTTGACGGAACGCCACTTGGACGGACTCATCGAAGATGCCAATGCGACACTCAAGCTCCTTACCTCCCTTTCGAACTCGTTTGGATCTGTCGAGGCTCAAACATCAACGTTCCAAGCACAATGCGAAGATCTCCTCAATGAACAACGAAGGTTGGAGGAATTGGCTGATGAAGTTGGAACCGATTTGCATTACTATGCCTACCTCGATGATGCGACAAGGCGTCTCAATGCCCCCGGCGCCAGTCGGCTGGTGGATGATGTTTCGTTTGGTGAGATGGTTGAGAACATTGACGCGTGCATTGTCTTTATGGAGAAACATGTAAGGGCTCTATATATGAGTAGGATCACCGGAACTAACACCCTTCAGGAGACATACCGTGACCGCGATACCTACCTTGCTCGATACACTGCGCTTCTCACAAAGGCACTTCACCTGCTTGAACACGGCTACAAGAACACATTGGAAAGAGTCTCATCTGAGATTGGTCGCCAAATTACTGGCACAAAATCCGAGTCCGCTCGCCATGCTCTCGCATATGGTCGTTTCCAAGAGATGATGCTCGATTCTTATGGCTTGATCCCCAATGTGCGACAAATTGTGCGGCGCGCATACGATATCTACGGCCAGCGGAACGAGTCTTGCACCCATTTTGAGACGTACGCGAATACTGCCAACAACATATTCTATACGCACCTGATGACCAGAGACCGCGACCTCAAGGCAATGGCGCAGTCTGATATTGCAGAGTTTCACAAAGAGGTCAAGGACCTCTCAGCTGAGACGGCATCACGCAACTTCATCAAGCAATGCTTTGAGCGCATGTACAACGAGGAGAGTCTGTTTATGAAGCTCTTTGACGTGGAACCCATGTGGAACCAGGCGACGGACTCGGTTTTCCAGTCTATCAAGACCACCAACACATCCATCATGCATCCAGGCAATTTGACGCCGTTGGTGACCAATCTTCAAACAGTGCTACATACAGCACCACTGGAGACTACCTGCAATGTGGTTGGGTTGCTTGCTAATGAATACTTTGGAGCCGATCTGGATGATATTGAATCTCCGTACTTCATCAAATGCAAACAGTACACTTCGCAACTCCTGGCGCATCATCTCTGGACATTAACAGACAATGCTTTTGAGGCGGAGGTTACAAAATCAATCACAAGGGCACCAGTTCAGGATGCCTCGCTAAAGATTGGCCCTGTGGTGGGTGGTGTAGCGTCTTCAAATGCCCACCCCTTGGTGAAGCAGGCTATTAAGCTTCTTGGCATGTATGAGCATTGCATGCCTAAGGAGAGAGCAGTATGTCTTCCAGCTGATACCTCTTGGACCAGACTAACAATGCTATAGGCTAAGAACAGCTCAGTTGTCTTCAAGATTGTACGGGAGACGATCCAGGTACTGCAACGCGCAGAGACCAGGATAAAATCTTTAAAGGCAGGCACTGATCCTGACCTTTTCATGGTCAAGAACTTGCTCATTATAAAGAATGAACTTGTTTCTCTAGAGATTGGCGATATCAGGAACAACGCTTCCTCTATGCAGCACTTTACCCATATCTGGGACACACTCAGCCCTCAAAATTGGGTTGGATTCATTTCAAACATTATCGGTGGTGGTCTGTGGTCACGGGGCACTCCCTCGGTAACAGCCAAGACATTGACAGCCGAAGACATGAACGAGCAGCTGGATGAACTGTTGCGACATTCGATCTACGCCTTCACACAACGCTGGGGTACTTTGATGAGCGACTCACAGAACCGGAAACCTGGAGTCAAGCCGATCGCCAAGGTGGAGACTGAGCTGGAAAACATCCTCCAGACGGCATTCAGCAATCAGCCAGAGGTGGTGGGCAAGCTGATGGAGGCGATTGAGCAGCATGCGCAGGCGCAGAATGATGTGAGAGATGAGAAGCAGGGTGTGAGACGGTACTAAAAGAGATGGGGGAGTTGTGATTAGCATAGAAGCGAATGCTGCTTATTCTACGAATCTAGACCAGCAATGTATCGGGTTTCATGGAGGATCAAACTCGAAGACCTCGAATTATAGAGAAGAGCTCCGTGATATTCTCAGTGCAACGGCTTGCAACGGAGCCATCCCGGCTGCATGCGGCTCTGTCAAGATAAGGCCCCGAGATCCGGTGTTAAACCCCGATTTCGGGACCACCTTCCTAATTCGCCAGTTTGCCGACTTCCAGACCTCCTTCCCCGCCATCTCCAACTGGAAGAAGAAAAGATAGAGAGGTACTTCAAACGCGGGCGCCAATGAACTGGATGCATCCCGGAGCAGACACCGATAGAGTGTAGAAAGAGGCAAGAAATTGTTCTAGACCACGGCCTCGCTCCGAGATCTGCTTGTACCACGGTATCTGGTCGCCGAAACTACATCAACTCGGGGACCGATAGTCCGGGCGCCGGTAACGGGGCTTTGTAATCCTAGCACGTCATTTGCCGGGCGCCCTCCGCAACAACCCCAGATTGTGTCCCGTCGCTATCAGCGCCTTCTGCTCGCTATCTTTTCTCCTCCTTTTTCGCAATCTTTTCAGGGTCCTTCAGCTTACTGTCCTTTTCTACCCCCTTGCGATTGAATTGCCTTGTTGCGATTGCCAATTGCTTTCGAGAAAAGTCCCTGCGCAAAGAGGTCGGCATTTGAGGCCGGAGTTGTTTCTTTTTCTTCTTCTCCGTGTTCGACCGCAAAGATGGACGCCCTCGAGTTGGAGGTGGCCAAGCAGAGCAGCGGCATTCAGACGGCCAAGGATCTGTTCTCTGGAGCCGTGGGAGGAATTGCGCAAGTCTTGATCGGTAAGTTTCTTATCAATGCTGCTGCGAACATGCTGCGAACTGCGCACAACAAGGACCAGAAGCTGGCTCGAGCGAGAGATGCGATCTAAGATGCATTGTCAAGTTCAATCGCTAACAGATACGGCAAACAGGCCAGCCCTTTGACATTGTCAAGGTCCGACTCCAAACCACAACCCAGTACTCGTCCGCCCTCAACGCCGCAACCTCCATCTACCGCAATGAGGGCGCCCTCGCCTTCTACAAGGGCACGTTGACCCCGCTCATCGGTATCGGCGCCTGCGTGTCGGTCCAGTTCGGAGCCTTCAACGGCGCCAAGCGCTTCCTCCAGGAGCGCAACGGCGGCGCTGACCTTTCCTACGGCCAGTACGGCGCTGCGGGTGCTTTTGCCGGTGTTGCGAACTCGGTCCTCTCGGGCCCTATCGAGCATATTCGTATTCGTCTTCAGAGCCAGCCCCACGGAGCTGCTCGCCTGTACGATGGCCCTGGCGACTGTATCCGAAAGGTCGGCGCCCACGACGGTATCCTGCGCGGCATCTACCGCGGCCAGGCTGTGACCATCTGGCGAGAGGCCTTTGCCTACGGCGCTTGGTTCACTGCCTTTGAGTACATGATGAACAAGGACGCCGCCCGCAACAAGATCGACCGCAAGGACATTCCCGCCTACAAGATCGCCTTCTACGGTGGTCTCGCCGGTGAGGTCCTCTGGCTCGCGAGCTACCCCTTCGATGTGATCAAGAGCAAGATGCAGACCGACGGCTTCGGTCCTAACCAGCGCTACACCACCATGCGCGACTGCTTCTCCAAGACATGGCGTGCCGAGGGTGCTCGCGGTTTCTGGAAGGGTATTGGCCCTACCCTGCTGAGGGCCATGCCTGTGAGCGCTGGTACCTTTGCTGTTGTCGAGATGACCATGCGGGCTCTGAACTAAAAAAGGAGATGTATAAAAAAAGGAGTGGGATTCTGCTTGGTGAATTTTAATGCGACAAAATGGGACTGGAAACGGCGATTAGATCAACATTGACGAGCGCTGGTGAGAGATATCATAGAGGGTTTTCAACATGACCAGTTGGCGATACGGAACGGTAGATGATGACCTATGCAAACGGGGTTCAAGCCTTTGCTTTTGTTTCAACGCTTTGAGGAAGTTGTATGGAGCGGGTAGATTGACTTTCGATATCTGGGATAAAGATATAATGACAAGTCTAGCATGATGACTCTTTAAGAATCTATTGAAGAATCGGTGTCGTCTCTTATACCCAATTAATCTATTCTCATCACCATCCTACATTCTCATTGTTTTCAACGCGCCGCTGTAGGATGTTTCTTGCGTTGTGAGGTGTCAACTCGTTGAGCCCAAGTTCTTCAAGCACCTTGCGTGCCTCATCACTATCCGTGAAGACGCGATCGCTGGCTTCTTTGAGCGTAAGACCGCCTCCTTCGCCAGCCTCAACAGGGAGACTCAAAAGCTTCATTCCCTCAGTCAAGCTGTCGAGCGTAGATGAACCACCGGGAATGTATCGCTCAACAACGGCAACCAGGGCATCGCCATCGCGACGGAACTGGGTTGCTCCGTAGGTGGTGAAATTCTGTCGAAGAAGGACACTTTGCCAAAGATGGTCTTGGATTTTGTGGAGGGCGTCACGCCAAACGCGGCGGAAAGCAGCAGCAGAGAGGGGCTTAGCTAAGAAGTCCAAGTTGCGTTGGAGGATACGAAGTGGTTCGTCGAGTTCTTGGGTAATGGACATCTCGTCTATGCCATGTTAGATGAGCTTCAAAGCGAGATTAAGAGAGACATACCAAGAATAGCCGCCTCACCAACGGTTGTCCATTGAACACGGGTTGTGTAGGCCCGGAAGGCCTTCCCATGAGATTCGGCCAGAGCGCCGACGAGAAGTTCCTCAGCAGCCTTGCGGCGCATGCTATACGCTGCAACTGTCTCGTCGAACAGGGCTCCGTCCTCATTATTCTGTCCTACAGCCGTAGAGGTGCGGTCCTTGACATCTTCATAGCTCATTGTACTTGTGATGTTGCTCTTCCGTTGAGCTGCGCGAGTCTGCAGTTCATCCCACAGTGAGACGAAGAACTAAACTTGTTAGAATCATCAAGCAGTAAGAGCAGAATTACATACCTCTTCATTGCTCCAGTCTTTCAATGTGTTGACAATGTGGTCAGCACTGCCGATCACCTTGCACAACACCTCGAAACTACCTGTTCCCTCAAGAACAGCAAGGTCCTCCTTGTTTCCGCCCAGGGTTCGGCCAAGCGTCGAAGACATGGTCTGGTATGCCTGAAGAGCGTCCCGGAGACGGCTATGGTAACCGTCTAGGATTTCAAGCTGTATGCCAATCAAGAAGCGGATCTTGTGCTTGAAGCTGCGTACCCTCTCATACTGACTTGTCACGGATCGCAAAAGGTCCGTGACTTGCACAGAAGCGTAGGTTGGCTTCATCTTCCCTTGAACCGCATAGTCGTAGTCAATATTTCGGGCATCTTGTGATTCCATGATAGTGTGGAATCGTTCCAGAGCAAACTCCTTCTCGGCATTGAACCAGGTGTCAAAATGTTCATCCAAGATGTGCGCCGATAGGCCAGGCCAACCGTTCTCAGCATCACCACCGTCATAGTTGAACTTGGAGCGAACGGTGTCGTCAAAGTTCATCAATTGGGATATGAAGCTGCTCAAAAAGGCCGGGCTTTTGACGGCCTCGGCTGCCACTGCAGATGTCTTTTCCTTCAACACGGGCAGCACCGATGTAATGAGTGCAGAAACAGGATCGATGTAGGCCAGGTTGGTGGCCAGCGAAGTATCCTGAAACTTGGCCGTGAGTAGATATCCAAGATTGTCCCGGAAAAAGTCTTCCCACTTCTCAATGAGGGCGAGGAACCAAGGTAGGGCGTGCGTGCCAAACGCCTGGGGGCTACTCGTCGCCTTGTCGCTGAGAAAGTGGAAACGAAACTCGGAGACAAAGATGGATGTCATGGTATCGAACGGCAATAGCGACACAAGACCCTTGCTATACTCAATCTCGGGAAGCTGAAGATCCAGGAGCTTCTCGAAGCAGTTGATCCACTCATCGTCCATCTCGGACTGGGGGTCAACCTTGGGCCATTTCCTCTGTTTCAGGATAGCCTCGAGCTCTGCCGACATGGTGCTCTTCATCTCGTTCCAGAGAGATTCGGTTACCTTTTCGACATAGTCGACGAGGTGTAACCCCTCCTGACCAGGCAGGCCTCGCAGCTTGTGCGCAAGCTGTTTTAGGTTGACGTATGGCTCCAACGCAGCCTTGGGACTTTGAGGCAGATGAGACCGTGCCTCGGAGCGGAACTTTTCGACATCTTGGAGGAGGTAAAGATACTTCTGTGCCAGCTCAACCATCTGAAGCTTCTTCATGGGCGCTTGAAGCCGGCCAATAGCCTGATTCGGAGCATCCGAGGCAGCGGTGATCTTGACACGGACATCGATGCTGTCCTGAAGCTGTTGAAACTCTTCTATGCGGGCGAGGAGTGAGCCCTGACGGTCATCGGCTGTGCGTCGAGTTTCCTCAAGCTCCTTAACGGCGGTGTCAAGCTGGGATTGCAACTGGTTGCGTTGGAGCTCCACGTTGGCCAGTAGTGTATCGAGGTTTTCCAGGTCCGTGGTCGACTGAAGTTTGTCGTCCAGAAAGTCCTCGACTCGTATGTCGAGCGACGTGCCCTGGTTATTTGCAGCTGCGGTGGCCATTTTGATCATGCATGTGTCGTGTTCATGAAGCTCATTCATCGCGCGACGTTGCTACTACAGAGGATGACGTGGGGAGAGCTAGCCCCGCGGTACCGGATAACTACATGTGGCGGATAAATGCATCTTGTTTCTTGTGAAAGCTGTCAATCAACCAGCATGAACTGTTTCAATTTTAAAAGGAAGGGATGAACAATTGATTCGATGCAATGGAGATCGATGTGGAAATCAACTGGTTTCACTCGTCGAAATCGGGTAATGACGTGGAAGCAAGTAGATTGCGAGATCGGGACGTGGCTAATAGACTTTTTACTTGGTGGCTGGGGCCTTGTGCCATGAGAGCTGTCATGATGACTTGCATCTCAGTTCACTCAAGGACTCGATCTTGGACCGGTTGAGCCGGAGAAAAAGAGTTGCACATCCTGTCGATCTTGTCTATTTTCTATAACACAAGGTCATCACGGATAGACCTCCAATATCTGAAGGCGGTCTGGAAAAGGAGCCGCCATGAAGGACTCGTCATCTCGTCAACGGCTTCGCGGCTTCGGGGCTTCGGGAGGCAGCAGCCAAGTAGCAGCCAAAGCTACTAGACTGCTACGGCGGAGATTTTTCAAGCCTCGCTTACTTGGAGGAAACGGGGCAAATGAATCAGGCACATTGACATTGGCAAGGGATACGGAGTGCCGAGGTAGATATACAGGCGCAGGGAGGCCCAAGAGGAAACAGACAGCGAATCAATGCTCAGCACGCACGTCGACACCGGGTGCATGAGGCCCTCCCCTCTCTCCCCGTATTGAGAGAGAGTCTGCAGCTCAGCTACAGGATACAGAATGAATTAATTACACGGGTGAGGCAGAGCTCGCCAGCCAGGCCCGAAACGGCGCCAAATCGTCATGACAACCGCATAGAGATCAAGACCCGCTGCTGCTGGCCGTAATCCTTGGCCAACATAGGAAGGAAGCTGGGCGGCCAGGACCTCCAGGGGGGCCAAGAAGCAAACAAGGCGGTAGACGAATCGAAGCGACTACGTAAGATCAGAGATGGTAAGGGGTTCAGGGATCAAGCCTCCATCCAGGGACGAAGCGAAGCGCAGCGCCCCAGGCAGGGACGAACGCCATTGATTCAAGACCGAGCTTGGGAGGGGGGCAAGCTCAGCAGGCTTCTGCAGGTCCAGCTTCTGACTCCGGAAGCTCCAGGGTCTCGGGGACTAAAAAAACGTGAAGCCTTGCCTGAAGCAGCATGACCCCGGCCTCTACGGCGCCGGTGTGCGGGTTGCCCGGTGCCCGTAGATGTCCGCACGGACCTGGAAATGGCCCCACCTCGTCGCGACGTCACGTCACCCTGCCAACGAGGGCCCGTAAATACGTGGCGGGAAAGAGCTCCCATCTGACTCGTCGACTTCCCCAAAAAGTCAAGAGGTTGGTCAAAACCTACTGCATACCCAACCTCACCCAATTCCTCTCTCCCAGCCATCGCATATTCGCCCAATTCCTCGGTACCATACCATACTGACTAGGACTGGAACTAACTGACTGACTCTCCTTTCTTTCTCCCTTTTGCCCCAAAGGAATCACATCGACTTTGGAGAGGATTAAGAAACTTACTTCCAAGTATTAACCCTCGTTTGCAGAAAGTGTGAACTGATCTCAAGGCTCTTATTGCGTTGCTCACCGAAAGGCAACTCTCTTTTTTAACAAAAACTTACTCTCTCCCAACGAACGTCTCACTTCTAGGGCCTGACTTTCGCTCGTTGTTTCTTCCATCGTCGTCTCAGCCCTCTCGCGCATTCCAGCGTCGACTCCGAAAGACATCGACCCGTCGCTCCCGCATTCCACCATTGACAGCATTTCGCCTGCTCTCCCGAGACAGCTCGAACTTTGCCGGTACTGACCCAGTGGAGGAAGTTGACGGAATAGAGGACCAGCGGCAAACTGTCCTGGTAGAAAGAGCAAGGAAATCATAGGGACCTCAGATTCTCTCGCTGAAAGGCGGCCTCTTGCGCGACTTCAACACCAGTCCCTGGTCGGGGACGAAGAGTTATCTCCGTTTTGACTTGCAAGACACAACATCTTGAGGGAGGAACGGTACATCATCACAAAAAATGGGCTCCAGCGAGACGAGCACCAGCTCGTCCTCGGCGCCGCCCAAGGTGCGAGTTGGCTGGTACAGTGAGTGATTTCCATCCCAGACAGGCACCAGCTCAGCTGGAATGTCGGTGTCTCGCAAGCACATGGCTAACTGAACCTCACTAGGTGCCCTGCCATTTCTCGGTTACCATCATGTGTTGATGATCCTCATCGCCATCGCCATTATCCTACTATGTGAGTCTCAGCAGCGTCAGAATCCAAGACAAGACTAACCGTAGATAGCACTACTACTCGCCGGCTGTTCATCATCGTCTCCGCTCATCCCTGACATCTTCCTACTATCCATTTACTACAAGTCCTATACCGCAAAGCCCGACACAGCTCAAGTCGACTACAACGTGCACACAGCTATCGAGAACATCGCCGGTGACGCCCGACTCCAAGCGCGAGTTGGCTACTTTGGTATCTGCATCAACCCCGATGGTGGTTCATGGCTGTGCAGCAACAATGCGACTGCTCTTGCGAAGGAGGTCGATGTCGACCAAGACCCTCTTAACCTTATCTGGCTGGCTGCTCAGTTCAAGGACATGATTGTCTTTCCCTACCTGATGTGAGTTTCTGATTCAGTATTCTTTGGGAGCTGTAAACTAACTGGTTCTCAGTATTATTGCCATCATCTTCGCCTTTGTCTGCCTCCTGCTCCTCGCCACCTTTCCCGGCTGGCATGAGGAGGTCGACTCCGAGGGTTCTGACCGCGAAGTCAAGCCCTTCCCGTCTCGCCCCGTCTCGCAGATTGCGCTCGCTTTGATCTTCATTGCCGCCATCTTCGTCCTCGTTTCCGTGCTATGGCAGCACACAGCATCCGTCGCCGCATCAGTCATCGCACAAGACTTTGGTAACGGCGCGGTGAAGAGTGGCGTTGGAACCAGTGCCATGGTACTGGGCTGGTTCTCATTCGCACTCCTCATCGTGGTAACAATCGGTCTACTCATCATGATCCTCAGTATCAGCGTCCTGAGTTCGATGGTATAGGATACATCGCATAGTGTGGAATCAACGCGAACAATTGAGGATTGAGTGACCGAAAGAGGAACGAAAGAACGAAGGAATGTACATAAGTCGACAGTACATCATCTGGCACGACTACCCACGGTAAGATCAAAGACGGGTAAACGGGCGAACGGCATCGGCATCGGCGTTTCAGGAAATGATTTGTTTTCGAAAATGATAAGCGATCGGTGGTAATATTTGGCCTTTCAACCTCGGCTTGGGCGGTATATACACGACACCGCACCATGACGCTTTGCTTGGTTGGCAGGGACTTGCTCTTGGATTAATCGAAGGATGGCTCTTGAAAACAAGAGCCCTATTCCCGAGGCTTGTCATTTTGTACCTGTCCTCCGAGCAGACGAAGCGAACGAGACATGGATTTTTGTTCGCATATAGACCGCACCATACAGAGAAGAAGGAAGGATCTTGGAGACAAGAGACGACGGAGATGAACGCGCCATGAGAAATTTTCAACTATCGGGGACCACGACAAGGCAAAGATGCGACACGAATCAACAAGAGACATGTATCTCGACGCGCCAGGACAGGAGGAAGGGAAACGTTCATAAGCATGTATTATCAAGAAGTTTTTGACGCGCGTGAGAAATTGAGATTTGGGTCTGATTTGATGATTTTGGTTCCTTTGATGATTTAGTGTGAAGATCTGGTGATGTCTTAATGTGATGTTGTGTTGAAGGTATTCAAGAGGGTTAATGGGATGAAGAGTCAAGTTGAATCAAGTTCTTAGATAATAAATAGCTCCAAATTGTCAAAGCATTCATCAATATAGGTATTCAACTTGTAAAAGGACTACCACATTGTCATTATTTCGTCGTGACATGAAATCATGTAACCACCCACAACCTCTTGATACTTACACCAGCAGCTCTCAAGCTTATCCATATAGCATTTCATTCGTGATGCATCCTCGAGATCTAACAGCTCTTGCTAGATCCCCAGTACGAGTTAAAACAAAAAGATTGACTGTCTTTCCTGAACGCCTCCCCTTTCATTAACCACCATCAAGGTCGTTCTATCGGAAAGGAATTGTTTGTCCTAATAGGCTGGCTAACATTTGTTGCTTCTCGGTCGAATCCTCTGGGTTGTTCCATGGGTTGTTCTTTAAACTGTTCCGAGGGCAGTCCCTCCGGCTGATTGACCGTTCGACCATGTCTACCCTCAGATAGTGCAGATTGTCTTTGCAGAGATGTCTTGGGAAACAAGTCTGTAGCTGCCGAGAGCTCAATGGGTATCGTATTTAGCTGCTTCACAAACTGGACAACTGGATTCTTGCTGTCGCTCCCTGGGTAACCTGCGTCGCTTGCGAGCCTGACGACAGGTACCATCTGATACGGCGAACTGTCCAGCTCAGCTATGGGCTGCTGTCCCCAGCCGGTGCCGTCCATGAACATGGTGGATCTTGTGAACGTCTGAGGGAGGGAGGACACGGTCACTGAGGAAGAGTTGGCCCATGTGAAACGTGCTGGGAGGGTTGTTGAGGATGTGTTTTGGTGCTGTGTCATGCCGTAGGTGTACACTGGGAGCGTAGATGATGATGCTCTATTGTTCAAAGGCGGTGGTGAGCTTTGAGAGGCAAATGAGGAAACTGAAGGTGTGTAGCCGATGCTTGCCCGTTGGCTACGATCAGGGCCCATGTCTGATATGCCATCGTTTGTGTTGTAGAACGAAGGACGATGGTTCGACCCGGTTTGTACAGGTGTGATCGCCCCTGGGCGTGTTGGTCTGTCCATGGGGTTGGAAGATGTTGTCACTGGCCGATTAGGCAGAGCAGTGTAAGGATATTGAGGAGATGTTATATCGGGAGAGACTAGTGTGTCTCTGAGGAGGTTTGCCAAGCCGGTCATGTCCTCAGAGATAAATCCCGGGCCCGGGATTTGCTGCGGTCTTGACGTAGTCGAATGGTTCATACCCATGGGGAGAATCTCTGGCGCTGAAGAGTCAGGGGACAGACCAACCATGTGTGGTGAAGGCATGTGTGAACTCGACGGCTCAGTTGGATAGCCTTGGTGCTGGTTGATAGGCACGGGGGGCGGCGAGACCGGTGCTGGAGTTAGACTTGAAGGAATCGGAGGTAGAGGTTTTGCTTCTGTCGCGAGTTAGATTGAGTCGTTCGTAGTGCTTCCGCCTTCAACTCACCAACTGATATATCTCCCAGTATATCCCCCAAGAGTGCAATATTGTCAAAAACAGGAGCCTCCTTCTGTACAACACATCTCCCCTCTTCCTTTGAAACTTCAGGAACAGGAGCAAGCATGGCAATATTCCTCAAAAAGTTGAGCTCCGCAAGCACAGCATCATGATGCCGACTAACAATAGGTTCCAAATTCCTAAACTCGCCCGAGTCGACAAGCAACCACGCAACACGACTCGCAAACGGTGTCTTTCCGCTGTGAGCTTCAGGTCTGCACCTCTCGACGATGGCGCATGCCTCCTCGAGCCCCGCCTGGGCGGCTTCGATGATGGAGTGGACGCGGGCGAGGACGAGGGGACGACGCTCTAGACGGGGAAGGCATTCGTTTCGTAGCTCGATGAGGTGTTGGAGGTCTTTGTCACAGGTTCGAACGAGCTCGAGGCTTCGACGGACGTCGCTGGGGACTTGACCTTGGTCGAGGGTCCAGGCGACAAAGTTGTATGTTGCGTGGAAGGGGTTCGGCATTGTTATGTTTAAAGCTAGGGGGATAACCCCTTGTTAGGTTTGTGTTTTAATTGTCTGGTGTGATTTGAAACAGGTATTGAGGTGAAGAGTATTGTCACTTTCAAAGATTCGAGTAACGTACTTGATAAGCAAGTGAGCCAGTCAAGCAAGTGTGCCAAAAATCCCTCAACCTACATCCTCTCCATTTGATCAATTAATTCTCAACCACCCAGCATGTCACAGTCTAATTGTGAGGCTAGAATGCTTCTTGCCCTTCGGGCCCTTCAAAATAACCCAAAACTAAGCCTCCGACGCGCCGCAGATACATATGAGGTTAATCGAATGACATTACGTCGCCGACAGCACGGCATTCAATCTCGACGCGATACTATCCAGAAATCACGTCGGCTATCTAATCTAGAGGAAGAGATCATTATTCACTTTATTCTCGACCTAGATTCGCGAGGATTTCCTCCCCGGCTACGTGCTGTTAAAGATATGGCTGATCAACTGCTTGCCGACCGCGACGCGTCACCGGTTGGCACGCGTTGGGCTCATAACTTCGTCAAGCGACACCCAGACCTTAAGACGCGTTTCTTTCGTAAATACGACTATCAGAGAGCCAAATGCGAAGATCCAACCATTATCCGCGATTGGTTTCGGCTTGTGGCGAATACAATCGCGAAGTACGGCATCCGATCAGATGATCTCTATAACTTTGATGAGACTGGCTTTCTTATGGGCATGATTGCAAGCGGAATGGTTGTCACAGGTGCAGAAAGGCGTTCAAAGCCGAAATCAGTGCAGCCTGGAAACCGGGAATGGATTACAGTCATTCAAGCGATTAATGCGGAAGGCCAGGCGATCCAGCCGTTCATCATCGGTGCGGGCCAATATCACCTCGCCAACTGGTACCGAGAAAGCAACCTCCCGGGCGATTGGGCCATTGCGACGACCCAAAATGGCTGGACCGATAATGAGACTGGTCTAGAGTGGCTAAAGCACTTTGACCGGTGTACAGCTAAGCGATCAAATAGTCGCTATCGTCTCTTAATCCTTGATGGCCACGAAAGTCACCACTCCATCGAATTCGAGAGATATTGTGAGGAAAAGAAGATCATCCGGCTTTGTATGCCACCTCATTCCTCTCATCTGCTCCAGCCCCTTGACGTCGGGTGCTTTAGCGTGCTGAAGAAGGCTTATGGTCGAGAAATAGAGCATCTGATCAGATGTTCTATAACCCACGTTTCAAAGACGGAGTTCTTTCCGGCCTTCCACGCCGCACACAAGGCCACTATGACGGAAAGAAATATCAGGGGGGCTTTCAAAGGAGCTGGGCTTGTTCCTCTTGACCCAGAAACTGTGATCTCAAAGCTTGATGTTCAGCTACGGACGCCAACGCCGGTTGAGGAGGCAGCTGAGCCGTCGACCCCTTGGGCTTCAAGGACCCCAAAGACCGTGATTGAGGCCGGATCTCAGTCTGAATACCTCGAAAGGCGGATCAGAAGGCATCAAAGTAGCTCCCCAGAGTCAATTTTAGAGGCTCTACAGTCTCTTGCGAAGGGAACAAAGGCTGTTATGCATCGGGTTGCCTTATTGACCGCTGAGAACAAAGACCTTCGAGAGGCAAATAAGATACTAAGCCGGCGGCGGAGGGCAAAAAGGACTAGACTGCAGAAAAGAGGGGTAATGACGGTAGAAGAAGGAAGGCAAGTAATTGATCAAATGGATGTGGATGCGCAGGTAGTGGCCGAATCGTCGAGGAGTGGTGGTCGAGGAAGGTCGGTCGGACCGGGTGTTCGGCGCTGTGGTGTATGCGGCAAGCCCGGCCATAATGCAAGGACCTGTCAGGTAGTGATTGAGACATCTGGGGAAGGGTATAGTGAGTAGTTTTAATTGATTAAATGGTTTATGGTGTTTTTATTGCGATTTCTATCTAGAGGGGGAGGGGAAAGTGGCACACTTGCTTGACTGGCTCACTTGCTTATCAAGTACGTTATATCTGATTTGAGTGCTTATGCTTGACAGACGCAAGCATCTAGTCTACGCTCTCCCATTTCCACCATGAGAACTGTAAAGACTACAGCGGGAGGGGGGAATGGACTAGTACGTGAAAAAAAAGCGATACTTGCACATTTACCATCCAATACAAGAAAAGAAACAAGGCGGTGGCTGAGTTGCATAATGTATGTACATGTATATCCTAGAAATAAAAATCAGGCTCGGGGGATCGGGGAGACTCACCCGACACGAGTGATTCTGTAGCTCAGCTCGAGGACAAGCTCTCGAGACTAATGTAGTATTTCTGCAGCCGAGTCACCCTACTTGACTTTGTCTATGTAGAGTACATGGATAGGCATTGGGGCGGGGGTCAGGTAGGTATGCATACATGGGATGGCGCCCAGGGCTGAAAAAGGCCAAGACAACATCAGTCGAGACAACACGGGATAACTCATTGGGCGTCTGGGTTACACGGCTAGGCTTTTTTCCACAGTGTGCAGTTGTGACTGCTCAGCTCATTGGTTGATGCTGAAGTTATCACCAAATCACAATTCCCACATTAGGAAAGACAGTATTAGTTAGGTACATACAAAGCCCTGCAACAATCTGGAAACAAGTCAAGGGTTACCCTTCTCAGACAGGCATGGTAACAACTGCAACAACCTCCCTTGGAGACCTGTACCTGGTCCCATCACTGTGACTCAGCTTCTCCAGCCCAGGACACACCACAACCCTGCGGCTCTGCTTGTCACTAAAGACAAACCTCCAGTCACTAGGCTGAGACACCAAGATGTACCCGAGCTTGGTGCATTCTAAAATCACAGCCTGCAGATGACTTGTCTGCTCCTGGCTCCCCGCGGCGTCCTGGGGCGCAAAGAAACGCAGCAAGGAGTTGAGCTCATTGGCCAGACCGCCAGCCTGCTGTGAAGCCTCCGCCACCGGCACGGGGAGAGGCGTCCGGTCTGCTGGGGTAGGATGAAGGAGCAAGGTTGACAGGCTGCGCCATTTGGACAGCGCGAGGGATGTCGCTGAAGGAAGACAATGCGTCAGCCACTTGCTGCAGATCACGTCAAAGGGAGGGGGTTTATTCTTACCTAGAGCTGTACTGTTGCTGTCGGCTGAGGGGATCGTGCTGAGGAATTCTCTTACGACTGGTGGGAGCATCGCCATGTTGCTTCCCGAGCTGAAGTCGAGGCTGCTGAAGATGACATGTGATAGAACATGGCGTATAGCGACCGGGCGGCTGCTAGGCTCCAGACAGAGCGCAACAACGGTCATTGCGTCGAGACCCGAGGCGGCTGGGGAGTAACCGACGTGGGCGAGGCTTTGAGCCAGTGTTTGTGCGTCGAGATGAACTGGGGAGCGATGATAGTGGCTTTCGACGTGCTGGTAGAGGAGTTCTGACAGGGCGTGGAGTTCTCCCGCAATCTGCTTGTCGGGGATTGTATCCAGGAGGAACTGGTTGAGGTCGACGTCGCTCTTGGAGGGCGTGACTGTCACCATCACGTCGTTCTTGGGCTCAATGCCTCCATTGCTGACAGGGTGAAAGTTTGTCTGGGGCTGTCTTCGGCGTCGTCGGAAGAGGAGAAACACGGCAACGGCACCAAGAGCGAGGCCAGCGAGGATACAGGCAATCGCAACGCCAGCAACTGCTCCGTCGGTGAGTCCTCTGTACTTTGTCTCGCCTTCCGCTGAGGCCGATGTCGATGTTGATGTTGGATCACTCGCGGAATTCGTTTCCGGGTTCGTCTCAGACGGAAGTCCGTCGCCATCAGGTTCTGAAGATGCTGCAGCTGTCCACGATTCCGCTATGGAAGAACCTTCATTTTGGGTGACGGACGACACTTTCGAGCCTGCATCGCTTTGGGTTGCTGCCGCCGAAGTCTCTGGTGGGGCGCTAGAGACGAATACCCACAAGTATTCTGCTGTGTCAGTTGCTGCAAGAGTCGTACTGACTATCTTGTTGTCCGTGTCGTTCCTCGCTTGTGCTGCCTGTCCCGGGAGCACCGAGTTATAACCCCAGACCACTCCACCGGTAGTCCAGAGGTCGCCAATTTCTGGAGTCTTCTTGGCCTTTTCATCCGCTGAGGAAACCATTGCTGAGGAGGAACTGGCTCGCTAAGCCGGAATTCAGAGCAAGAAGGGATGGAGACGTGTCCAAGAACAGAGGACGGAGAAATGAGAGCCGTGTTGAAACCAATAGGCAGTGAGTGGATAGAAAGCCTCTGTCCACCTAAAGGGGATGCTTGAAGATGATGGAAGCAAGAAAGCAGAGAGGAATCGACAGAAATTAAAGACAGCCTGGGTCTATGCCAATCTTAACAAGCAGCAACAGGCAGCCCTCACGGACAAATCCAAACTCTGCCCCGTCTCCTCCTGGAGCTGAAAACCCCCCTTGTAAGCCACCGCACCGGCATCCAAATGCAAAGCGAGTCTCGACACCAGGCTGAGCATGGGTTGTCTCACCATGATAATGCACCTGGTCACTGCCAAGCCAGCCTGCAGGAGGGGGTGTGAGTGTGAGTGTGAGTGTGTGACAAGGTCCGCCAGCCTCGTTAGGCTTCTCGTCAAGAAACTCGGCAGTGAGCTTCTCCTCTATACTCTTTCTGTCTTCTGTCAGGACGAACAGACAAGATTGTCGAGCAAAGATGGAGGAGCAACCAGACTTGGCCATCTCGGTTGATCTGGGAACCACCTTTACAGGTAACAACCCAATGTCTCCATGAGATCAACTCAAGCTCACTGTCCGAGGTGTTGCCTGGATGAGGCGAGGAGCTCCCGTCCAGATCGTCAGCGACTGGCCCGGTAGCGACGACCGAGGTGACCGCAAGGTTCCAACGACGCTGATATACAACGCCGACGGGAGCATATCTTCCTGGGGCTTCATGTGCGCCGACGACGACGACACTTCGCCGACCAAGACACGTCGCGACTTCTTCAAGATCTTCCTCGATCCGGATATGCTCGCTGGCGCTCAGCAGCAGGGCCTGTCCAACGCGCCTCGCAGCGTCGACGAAGCTCGTCAATTCGTCAGCGACTACCTTCGAAAGGTATACTCTCATCTCAAAGACAGCATTGAGATGCGAATGGGTATCAAACATGTTGGCGGTTGGAAGTCAATGGCTGTGACATTTCTGTTCAGTGTCCCGACCACTTGGACGAGCATGGCCATCGCCAATGTCTTCAAGGGCGCCATCCACGACGCCGGCTTCGGTATCGAAGGCCCGCGACACTCGGCTCTTGTAGATCTCACAGAATCCGAAGCCGCAGCCGTTGCGACTCTCAAGGCCGGCGCCATCGACCTCAAAATAAACAACATCTTCCTAACCGTAGACGCAGGTGGTGGAACAACAGACTTGGCCCTCATGCGCGTCACTTCGACAGATGCCAGCTTCCCGCAAATGTCCCCAGTTGCTGCTGTCAGTGGTGTAGGTGTAGGCTCATCCCTCATCGACCGCGCCTTTGCCAGGCTCGTAGCTCAGCGGCTGGCTACAAACCCAGACTTCAAACTACCCATCGACTTTCCGGCACGGATGGCGCGAAGCCCTGGCTTCAAGAGTGTCAAGCACAAGTTTGGCGAGCGAGTGTATATGCAGCAAGTATACAGGATACTCATGGAAGGTGTGGGATACGACGTCAACCATGCTGGACTCCAAATCGAGAATGGACGGATGCTATTTTCCTTGTCAGTTCTCTTTCCGGTGAGGGATGAATTGGTGGCTAATACGAACCAGACAAGAAATCCAGGCCCTGTTTGACGTCCAAATAGAAGCCATCACCAGGCGGATAAGAGACCGGCTCGACTGGCTTGCAGAAAAGGGGCATAGGGAACAAGTGGTAAGGCCCATCTGTTTGGCTCTCCGCCATATTTGACACCATGATAGGAGTATATCATCCTCTCGGGAGGCCTAGGGAGCTCGGCATACGTACGCGAGATGCTTCAGCAGCATCTAACAAGTCTCCAACACCCGAACGCTCGCAACATTGTTGTAATTCCCTCACAAGAGCCACAACTCGTCGTCGCCCGCGGCGTTCTAGAGAACAAGAGGCAGATGATGGAGTCAGGAAACAAGTCGGTCCTCACAGATTGGATTGCCCGCGCAAGTTACGGCGTCATAGTCCAAGAGGTGTACTCGCCAGCCAAGCACTTTGACGAGGACGTCCGGGTAGATCCATTCGAAGCGGGCAAGAAGTGGGCAACGAATCAGATCCAGTGGTTGATCAAGAAGGTAAGTGTAGTCTGTTCGACGACTCCCAAGACTAGGCATGTTGACATATATCAGGGGGACAAAGTCAGTCCTGATGCTCCCATAGTCCACAGCTTCGAGATCAGGTTGAAGGAGGGAGATACGACAAGAGCCTGGGACGCCGAGATCGTTGTCTCCAACAACGAATCAGACTGGCTGCCACGAAGCCTCAGGCAAGGTACGTTGATTCTTAGTCGATAGTTCCGGGTCCATCTTTAACTGACATGCACAGCCGGTGCAATGAAGCTCTGCTCAGTAAAGAGTAACCTCGCCGGTATTCAACAGCACCAGCTCGTTCTCAAGGAGAAGCGAGGAACTTGCTTCCGTCGTGGTGTCAAGTTCTACATCTGCCGTTTCGACGTCCGTGTCATCGTAGCCCCAGCAGATCTCAGGTTCGAGCTATGGTTTGGCGGTACAAAGTTCTCAGGCAATCATCAGCCCATCGCTGTCCAGTGGAACGCTGCAGGGGAGCAAATGTCGAGCAGTTGAAACTGTAACAGGCACAGAGAGGTCATTCCCATCAATGATAGACAGGTTGCTGACACGACACTCCCCAGCTGCCTTGGAATAAATGACATTACTATACCCAGTTCGGTTACCTTTCTAACCATACTATAACATCCCATCCATTTTCCTAAACGCCGTGGTGCTTGGTCATATGGTACCTTTCCCAGTAATTAGTACAACTTGTCAGCACTCCCCTTCCTCGCAATCATAACGGCAACACCTCCAAAACATGGCATTCATTCCTCCCAACCTGTTTCCAAAACACGCATCGAGCGCTTAGGATGGCCTTTTGAAAGGGTGTGCCTCGGTGTTGAGCACCCACTCGTCAAGGCTGATGAGACTGGGCTCGGAGAAGAGGAGGAGATAGTACTTGAGAGTCTCGGCAATCCAGAAGCTCTCCATCTCATCCTTCAAGCCAGGCTCTGCGTTGTTCAGCACGTCGTTAATAGCACTGTTGGCAAACTCTGTCCGAGTCGCCGTGACCGTGGCCTGGAACATCTTCCAACCCTTGTCCATCCACGTAGTGTCGCCTGTAATACGGTACATGTACCAAACAGACTCAATTGCCTCAGGTCTGCATCCATGTTAGTCAAAGTTCAATAAAGCAACCGAAAGCAAACTATAACTTACCGGAGGATATACGACTTGTTGATAATGTCGGTGTATCCTGGGGGAAGATTTTCCCTCTCAAGCTTGGCCTTGACAAACTCCTCATGAGACAGGGGCTTCTCTGGTGGCTGGTTGTTAGGAGCTGCGACTTGCTCGGCATGCTTGTTCGCAAAGCTGTCCGGCACGGCAGGGACTTGTCCGCCACTGGTGCTGGTTCCTTCTTGCGCAGCTGCCGGCTTCTTGTCCGATTCGGCCTCGCTCGATTCAGTCTTTTCAGTCTCGTCCTTGTTCAGACCCAACTTCGCCTTAAGAGAGTCAGGAAGCTCTGATCCAAACTCCGAGTCGTCCTCCTCCATTGATCGGTCCAGCTCAGGCATAGGGATACCAGCTCGCTTGACAGGCTTCGAGAGTCCCTCTCCAGCAGCTGGAGCACCCTCAGCCTTGACAACGGGCTCAGAGCCAGTGCTCAGGTCATCAGGCCTGTGCGGCTGCTCCGCCGGCTTTTCAGCTGCCGTATTCTCCTTGGGCTGGGGAACCAGGGGGTCAGAAGCCTTCTTGACTTCCTTAGGCTTAGGAATCAAGGGCTCAGCTCCAATGCTGAGGTCAACCTCCTCAGCTGCATTGGCCTTGGGGGCCACGGCCTCGGAGTCAGCTGCTCTGGCAACCCCGGGTGCAGCCTTGCCTGGGATCAGGGGCTCGGGGGCAACCTCTTTAGCAACTTCAGGGGCAGCCTTCTCAACAAGCTTTTGCTGCTCCTCACCCTCCTTCCACTTGGAGAGTTGGTTCTGGCGCCATTCCAAGGACGGGTCAAGGTCCTCATACCATGTCGATTCATTGAATGGACACTTCTCTAGGGCGGGGCATGCAACCAGGTGAGCGTACTCGGGCATGAGGCCAGTAGGAGTAGACTGGTAAGCCCACACGCAGCCATCAGTTAGCTTCTTTGCCTTGTCGATGTCGCCGTCACGTCCAAAAATCTTGCCACCCAGTCCGTACATGCCACCGATGAAGCATGTAAGATGCGTCATTTCATATGACTTGGACCATTCGCTGTCGCCCTTCTTGGAAGTGGTCATCTTTCCGGTGAAAAAGACGTCCCAGCCATCCTCCTTGACCATAGGGCGGTAGAGCAGCCACTCGTTGATTGCATCAATAGTATCCTCGTAGAGCTTGCGGTACTTAGGCTCGAGACCATTCAGGAGAAGGTATTGCTATTTCCAGTCAGCTTATGTTTGTTACAGCTCAAACATGCCGCTTACCTTGGCGAAATACTCGTACGCCGAGTCCTGTGCGCCTCCCATGTGAAATTGGCCATATGCATAGGAACCAGGAACAAGACCTTGAGGCTCGCACTCCCAGTTCAATGAAGTCCCGTCGGCAGCGAGAGGCGGGGGCTGGTTAGTAACAGGCTTGGACTCTTCCTGCTCTTCAACCTTGTATGGCTCGTTAAGCACAGGGAGCGCCGGAGGCGCATCACGGCGACGCAGCTTATCTTCCCAGCGGCTATCCGCCTGAGGCATTTGTGCAGGGGTTACTGCATCAGCCTGCTGCTTGTCACCCCCAGGGATGAAGCCTTGAGGTTGCTTGGTCAGGTCGGCACCTTCAACCTGTCCCTGCGCCTCCTTGCTAAGTGACTGCTTGAGAGTAGCCGCTGTCTTGTTGCATCCCGAAGCATTGATTTTCTCAGGGAAAAGACCCGGAATCTCGGTGCCGTCCTCTTGCATCTTGACGAGGGCGTTGGTAATGCGGGCAACGGCATCATAGTACTTGGCCTCGCCCGTGAGTTGGGCGAGATGTGTGAACTCCATCGAGAGTGATGCAAGCTCTGCAATGCTGACAACGCTGGCGCGGTGAGGCTGAGACGAGTAAGGAGCGCGCCACCGGTAATAGAGAAGAGGCATGCGGTTAGGCGTGTCAAAGGCTCCCATGAGAATCTCGGCAAGCTCAACGGCCTTGTCAAGCAAGATCTTGTACTTGCCGTTTGGACCGCCACTGACATCGTAGGCGCCGATAAGTCCTCCTAAATAACGAATTGTGGTCTCGAAAACGGGGATATCGTTGCGATCGGTAAAAGTGAAGTCAATCTTGGCAACAGCGTTGGCAGCCTCATCAAACTCTTCCTTCATATCGGCGATCCAGAGTGTATCAAGCGAGTCAACGAGAGTTGCACCCCAGCCACCAAAGGTCTCGCGGAACCCCATGGACAGAGGCAAGAGCTCATCATGCATAAAGGCATACTTGCGATAACCAGCCCAAGCACGTACCAGTTCCGCCTTGACACGCTGCCTTCGCTCAAGGCGGACCTTCCTGGTTCCTTCATCCTCGAGTTGGAAGTCAAATTGGATTCTATTCATGTCGGGGGCTGTGCCAGTTGGGATGGGGATGATGGACTCGGCGGGGAGAGGGAAGTTCTCCTTGGGCTTGGTCCAGTGAATCTTGGAACCATCAACGTTGACGCGAGGCTGATCTGGGTTATCGGCTGTAACGGGCGGATCCTTGACCTGTAGGGGAGGTGTCTCGGGAGAGGTCTGTTCCTCGGGCTTCTTGACTCCTTCGGTGCCGGCATTGGCTTGAGCTTGGGCGTTTTCTTGGGCAGGCTTCTCGGGATCGGGAAGAGTCTCGCCAGCAGTCTCGACCTTTTCGTTGATAGCCTCATTGCTCTCTGGAAGAGTCTTGTCCTCGCTGATCTCAACCTTTTCAGGCAAGTTGCTGTCTCCCTGGGGTACGGCGGGCCTCGGGATGGAATCCGAGTCCTTGCCTTCAGAATTTGGCAGCTCTAGCACCGGCGGTACAACGGCGGGCTCAAAGGCTTCCTTAGAGCCTTCAATAACCGGTGGGGGCTGAGCGACTGGAGGCGGTACTGGAGGCTGTTGTATCGCATTGTATTCGGCCGATTGTGCCCATGAGTTCTGGAGGTATCGGTAGAGGATGAACACCAGAAAGACGGAGATTATGGTGTAGAAGCGACCACGTCGACGTAGCGGAAGCATTGCGGCGGATCGCGGCTCGCCGAGGCGAGGCTTTTCGAGGCTTGTATCGACGTGGGAGATGTGAGTCGAGATGGAGTGTCTCGAGAGTAGAGAAGGGGTTCGTTGGTCGGAAGTTCGTATTACACTGGGAGCAGCATGCCGTAGCTATAGATCTTCAATACGCTTCCCCCCTGTACTATAAGCAAGCAAAGATGCAACAAGACAGAGGCTAACGGTTGACCTCGAAAGAATGATGACAGGAAGAGGCTAAAGCGAAGATGAAGGAACGGCGCAAGGGACACAGAGAGGGAGAGTGGTCGCGTAGGTCTGCTGCAAGACGGTTAAGTCAGATTGGATCTAGAGCCAACGAGGGAAGGCAGTTGATTCTTGGCAAAAGAGGGACGTCTTTTTGCAGGCGCTGGTTGGTTGAATGGCCCGAAGCAGCCCCCTATTCCTGCGCTAACATTAGCATCCTCTAGCAGGGACTTCCCGTGCCTGGGACGTTTAGGGGGGGTCGCGGATGGATCAGCAACGTTTTTGCAGCGGCAGAAGAAACGCTAAACCTAGCAAAAGGATAAATTTAGAGGTGGTATTCCGCTGTTATGGTTATTTGAAAGGAATGATGTTGCAGCCAGGTACGCGGATAATTGACAAGTATTTGATCCGGTTATGATACTTGCAAGTAGCACACGTGCACAGGACTCGAGTATTTTGTGTTACACCAAGGAACACCAGAGGTCAATGTGTTGGCCAAACAATAAACAATGAAGTGAATAAACGGGCCTTTGTGTTTCTGTTTCCTCTAGGTGCTTCATAGTTTATTCACAACCGCCTCGACTCCATATTATCGTCTACAAACGCATCATGTTCCTGCAGACGCGCAACCTCTCCACTCTCAAGCACCGAAGTCCCCTATTCCCGACGTCAACTTGGACCTCAAACTCCACTCGCTGCCAACAATCCAGGGGGTCTGAATCTCTGGCCCTGAAGCGATGCCTAAACGGGAATTACCACCATCTGGCTCGTGCCTCTTTGTCAACGCCATTGCCGCGCAGTTCTTGGCACGTGCCTCTGTTGAAGATGCTGTTGAAGGTTCCGAATGAACATGTGCCGGTAAACCGAGACAATTGTCGAGCTCCCCGTGTGGCTTAAGAGGCTGAGATATAGGAGCCCTCGCAACCTATTAAAGACTTGTATGCCGCAAGGGGAGAATGCTTTCATCCGATCTTGGCCAATAAATACATCCATCCCATAACCGATGCAAATGTCTAAGACTCAACTCCCTCTGCCAAGCCCAGAAGGATCACTGCTTCAAATCAGTCTATGAAATTCATATGATCTTTGACACAACATGACTACTACATATAGCCCAGGAAATAATACAACAAAACGGAGCACTCCTCTCCTTGCTGCTCCACCGCTTGTAACATAGCTCTGTACTAGTGGACCTCGGACCTCAACAACAACAGCCTAAATCATCTCCCCTGTGGCTTAGTTGGCTAAAGCGTCCGACTGTTATTACCAGACAATCGGGAGATCGGAAGTTCGAGCCTTCCCGGGGGAGCTATTCAGCTCAAGTTGATTTTTTGAGGATGGCCACTATTTTTGGTGTTGTGTCCTAAGCTTCCAGACACTACCCACCATCACCAGGACTTGCACGAGCCAGCACTAGGCAATTGGCAAGTCTACACTTTTGCTCTAGTCTGGCACGCTTGGCCGTTAGCTTGGCCAGTGTGGACATGGATCTATGTCGCCTAGTTAAGCTGTTGTTGGCATGCGTTCGTCATGGTGGTGTTGGGTACCCTATACTGAAACACGGCCTCATTGCATTTCGATATATCAGCCCATAGAATAAAGGAGCCGATCGTATCATGCTGGGTATTGTCCTTGTCGGGGGCTGGCTAAAATTTGTAGTGGTGTTTGGCAGGACAAGTAGTCGATCGCAGAGTTGAGATGACATTAGCAACTAGAGGTTCGATCGCCCAGGAGCAGGACATCATACTGCATACAAACACCATAACGACATGAAGTGGATGAAAGTAAACATACTGCCGTAGTGTTCAGAATCGGGCTAGCTTTCTTTAAGTCACGGGAGATTGTTATCGGGGTGACTCGATGCATGCTTGGTTGAAGCGGAAGCGATACTCTGAGCCTAAATGTCTACTACATATAGACTGAAATTCACCTAGAAGTGGCAGGAACGAATGTCCTGACCATATGAAAGGGAATGTAACTGTTCCTCGTGTCGCTATGGGATTGACTTGATCACGAGCAAGATAAGGTGTTGTTGAACTGGCTGCGTTGGCAGGGCTTAGGCGACAAGTCAAACTCATGTTGTTTGCAGTTAAACACTTTCTAATAAACCGAGATCATTTGATCTGCTCAAAGCTTGCTTGTTGTTAGTTTGATCAATTACCTAACTTGATTGACACAGCTTGTTGTCTTTCCGAGCAAACTCAGCACGACAACCAAGCTGCATCGCAAGACCTCATGCTCTCGGCTATGGCAATTGTGGAGGGCCACTGTGTAAACAAGAACCAGACTGCGTCTCTATAATGTACGAAAAAAGTGAACCAGACTGTCTCTGGCAAAAAGAGATCAGTCCGCAAGAACTGCAAAAATCAACTCCCCGAGGTGGGCTCGAACCACCAACCTCCTGATTAACAGTCAGACGCGCTAGCCAATTGCGCCATCGGGGAGAAGCTTTACTTGTTGTTGGATGATGGTGAGTTACCAGGGGCTATGATGTGTGTGTGGGGAGAGAGGGCGATCTGACCGCAACTCATACGAACCCTTCTGCAGTGGATCATGCATTATTCAAGGCATAAAATCATTTCATAAACTCTCAAGCTGTGTGGGCGATTGGTGAACTAACTTTGTTCCATTAACATCGCTATTGGGCTTGATCAGAACTCAATAGTGCCGGAGAGTTCTGCTTTAGTCAGATCAACTCATACGATGCTACTGAATCCGTTTGCGTATCCACAAATGAGAGTCCAGTTGTTTCGTTACGGTCATGGCTGGTTCGCTCTGTTGACCAAATTGAGATGATCACCGGATCTGCGAGAGCGGAGCTGGCAATTGTAACGTTTCTCTGCATGCCAAGCTAAGAAACAATCGCTTAGGGATCATGCAGAGAGCTGTGATTAAAGAGACGTGCCAGATAGCCAGGAAAGGAGAATCGTATTACTGCTTGATTTGCTTATACAATGATAAAAGATTATCCACACATTTGGGCCCGCCTCTGATCTGGCTGGCTGAAACTGACAAAAGCTGAGCTGAGCTGAGTGCTAAAATGGTGACATGGAGACATGGCGCACACGCTATCGGATATAACCCCCTGTTGACCTTCGATCCGGAAGGATTGCCGAATTGCGTGGCCCATGGGAATCTGCTGGTGGTTTTAATGTCACCCTGTAGTTAGCACCCAGATCCATTATCATGTCACTTTCTTTTTCCGAATTATTCCTCTTTTCCGCCCTTATCAACTGCCTCGTCAATTTCGGTAGCGCTGTCGTCCTCTTGAAGTCAGCTTGAGCCATGGCAACTTCGAGCCCTCAGGAGCAGAGGATTGCAGTCATTGGCCTTGGTGCGTACAGATCGCCAGGTTTGTCGAACCCCCACTGATTTTTGAGTTCTCGCTTCCCAGGGGCCATGGGGATCGTCGCTGTCAAGAATCTGCTAGAGGAAGGGTTCAACGTCACGGGCTTCGACCGCAATGACTATGTTGGAGGGCTTTGGCACTTTACTGAGGATGAAGACACTCTGAGCGTGCTTGAATGTAAGTTTACTACCCAATTGCATGTTGTGGTGGTGGTTCTGAAGGATTCTAGCAACTGTTGTAAACGTCTCTATCGCTCGGGTTAGTAGCACCACTCGTTTCTTGTTGTAGGCCAAGCAAATATCTTATAATGCCCAGGGTTGCTATACAGATTTTCCCTTTCAAAAGGGTATGTATTGATACGCATGTACATAAGATTCCGGTGTGCTGACCTTTCTAGGAACACCCCCCTTCTGTCCTGCAAAACAGGTCAATGAGTATCTCGAGAATTATGCCGACCACTTCAACTTACGGCCTCACCTACGGCTGAACACTGTAGTCAAGCACGTGGCAAGAGAAGAAGAATCTAACAGATGGCGATTGGACTTTGAACTTGCGCCCTCAGAGTACTTCGACAAAGTCGTCATTGCCACAGGGCCGCATCTGAGCCCTGTCATGCCTGAGATCAACGAATCGAGCTTATTCTCTGGGAGGATTATCCACTCAAAATCGTTCAAGCGGTAAGCATAAATTCATCAATTTTCAGTGTTGTAAAACCTCGATGTCTAATAGCTCGTAGGCCAGAAGCATTTACTGGAAAGAAAGTCGTTGTTTTGGGACTTGGCAACACGGGAAGCGATATTGCTGACATATTGGTTGGACACGCCTCGAGCATATGCATCTCCCATAACCACGGCGCCATTGTCGTAAGTTCTCTACTACTTCATTCCTCAAGCTCTGCTCTTACACACTGCCAAGCTTCCCCGTGATATCGACAAGGTCACCGGATCCAAAGGCTTCACTCATCGATTCTCAATTATTATCGGCTTTCTCGAGAGGTGGTGCCCATCCCTTTCTGAAACCCTCTTCAACAGAAAGGCCAAGTCAATTATGAGCAAAGCCTTTGGGGACGTCGATCCAGCGTGGAGATTAGACCCAGCACCCTCCGTCAAAGTGACAAACCCGGTGGTCTCGGACACATTGATCCATAGACTACGTGCTGGGGACATCAAAACAATTCCTGGGATCAAGAAGGTCACAGGCCCAACCCAGTTGGAGCTGACAGATGGGCAAGTGGTGGAAGCCGATGCCATAATTTGCTGCACGGGATATAAGGCTGGCTTCAACATTCTGGATCCTCAAGTAGACCCCTCAGCCAAGCCATCCATAGCCTGGCTCAAGGCTTGGGGATCCAAGGATCGTCCTTTGCCGCGCCTGTACCAGAACGTCTTCTCCCTCAAACAACCGGACTCTCTCGCTTTCCTTGGCTGTGCTTGGTTCATCACAAGCGCATTCTGTCTGGCTGACTTGACGAGCATGTGTATTGCTCAGGTATGGGCAGGACACTCCAAGTTACCTCCACAGCCTGAAATGAATCGCTGGATGGACCAACAAGAACAGCGTATCAGTAGACTCGCACAACGAGGGACAGTTATCCCAGCCTCAGTGCCTGCACGGGAGTGGCTAGTTTGGGCTGACCGAACAGCTGGAATGGGTGTGGAGGAGCATCTTGGATGGGGATGGAAGGGATGGTTGTTCTGGTGGAGGGAAAGACCTCTCTGGAAGATGCTAATGGACGGACCACAGACAGCAGCAGCATGGAGACTCTTTGACGGGAAGCGGAAGAAGTGGATTGGAGCAAGGGCTGAAATCGAGAGGGCAAACGAGGTTGGTGAGTGTGACAAGGAGAAACAGACATAATATGTGCGGCTGTCACTTGTTGCATGAGATAGCATGGCATCGGTCCTGGCCATGTCTAGTCCTTTGAAGCTTGATTGCCTTGGTCGGGCAATGAACCATTTTCCACCATTGTGGTGTTGTCCTCTGCCGAAGAGATTGTGATCTGATCTGCGCACTCGTGGGAGAGTTCACTTTGCTTCTAACTGATGAGCACATTTCAGCTCTGAAAACCTACCAAGCCCATGACAATACCATGGTATCAGATTCTCGTAGTACGAGTGAGGCTTAGACTTCGTCGACCTCGGGTTTCGTGTCCGCTAAACCACCATAGGATGCATCTTCACGGCTGCATCCCAACCAATGAGATCACAGAATTGGCTTAATCCCCTGTGGCTTAGTTGGCTAAAGCGTCCGACTGTTACTTGCAGACAATCGGGAGATCGGAAGTTCGAGCCTTCCCGGGGGAGCACATGGGCTCAAATCATCTTTTTGCATGGCGATACGAAGTGTTTATGTGCTCATTCATCCAAGCTGCTCCTGTGCTCCCTTCCGCGACCATTGATCTAGGACACAATATTCAGTTGCGCTGGGTGGATTTAGTGGACATTCTTTTTGTGCTCTCTGCTTGGTGCAGATGCCCTCACGCCCCACTGGACTCGTGGTAAGCCCTCAACTGGTGAACGATGGATCTACCGAAGATCAAGTTCAGTTAATTGAGTTTAGTCGTGACTTTTAAGTCACTTGAATAAGTTGATACTGACCTGTATTGGCTGAAAATGGCCTCATAGCAAGAGCAAGACTCGAACAGGTAATATTGGTGTTCACTGACTGACTACTGTTGGTAAGCAAAGGCCTCGAAAGCTTGCGAAACATATTAATAACAACACTGTCTTAGGAAAGCAATAGACTCTTCAAACATAGCGCGAGATTGACTTTTGCAGTGGTTAATTGGTGCCCTGAATTTTGTGTGCTTACTCTCAAGGCTTCACTGGGACGGACTCTTGGATACAATCCGTGATGAACTTACTCCTTTTTTAAGTGTTACTGCCATGTCCCTATGGAAATCGGCACCGGAATTGGTATTGAAATTTTACTGGTAGGGTTAAACTCTCATTTCGCATCCCTGTTCAACATGTGCCCGCCTAAAGCTTATGTGTAAGTCATGGGAGGTGAACTTTTCCGTCTGTTTATCTGCTGGAAAGTCTAAGAGGGACTGATATAAACTGATGGACGGTTGCCATTGTTTACTTTGTGCTCAGTACTTCAACCTCTCATTTTGAGGCCAACTTCAGAAACAACCACAGCATATTCCCATCGCAACTACTGATACGACTGCTCTTTTTGGATTGCTCAAACTAGACATTATGCCTTGTTCTTACGTTTCACGCGGATTGTTTCTTGACAACGACATCGAGGCTCATGATCCAGTCTGTGAGGCCCAACTGTTCCATTCATGGGCCGAATGGCGGCACGCCGAAAGACCTTTGACAACCTATCCTCCCGAGATCTGTTTTACTCAAAGCTTTGGAGCTTCCGTTCGACAATGGGCCAAGTACATCGCCTATACCGAACTCATCAAGCTCCTAGACCGCTCACGAAGTAGCCGTCGGATTACATGCGACAGTCTCAAAACATGTAACTGCTGTAACCACCAAAAGCAAAGGGACACCGAGTTCTACAACCGAAGCAACGAAGCCGAGTTTGTGAGAATCCAAGGTTCCCTCAAGCTGCTCTCTATAAAGTCCCAGGTCGAGATCCCTGGGTATGGGAGTTTTGTCCGTCAACAGAGCTGGATAGATCCGCCAGCCGAACCCCCCTCAATTAATGGATGGAAGAGAGTCAACCGGGAGATACCTCCCGTCTACAAGGTTTGGTTCCCCATTTCTATCACCATGATTGAAAAGGCGCCCAAGTCTGGATACTCGAAAGAGATTTGGTTTTCTTCGATTGGAAAACCACCACCGATGTGTGGTTCCGTCATTCGCAAGACAAGTCACTATGGGATGTGCATCATTCGCCGCGATCGAGATCTTGACCTTGGTGAACTGGTATCGGTTATTGAGAACCCAGGTGGTCGTTTCTGGGCATTCTGTTGCGCCTTGGTCTGTCAGGGATTCGAGAGAGGCAAGTCTGCCACGGAGAGCCTTCTATGGGGCGGTCAGATTGTTGAAAAGTTGTCGGAACAGGTTGATTAGAGCTGCTTGAATGCACGATGACATCAACCACTGCTTCAACCTGTCGAGCTTACCTTGTTGGACCTTGGACCAGTTCTTCAAAAGTATCATGCCACTGGGATAAACTAGGAGCACCCGAGTCCTACGAAGGATCAACTGGCTTTTCTCATACGATATTTCTAGAAAAGATCGGCATCAACTCAAAACATCAAAAGTCCCTGAATCATTCCTCATGCAGCCGGCCCACATGGCTAGGGTGGAACCCCTCAAGGGGTTTTTCGTATTCAGGATAAGTTTTCGGAACGACGATCTTCTTGTTGGTTGGAGGTGTTAGCTTCTAGAAAAAGAAGAGACTTTTAAAATAGAAAGGTTGCGCGTCATGACGGAAGAGGCGATGGTGGGTTGGAGGGTTGACGGGTATATAATGAACCTACCCCTTGTCTGTTTGACCTCTCATATAAGCTGGACATCAAGGCAAACAAGACTCCTCTCTCATCTCACAACATTAATAACTTGTTTCATAAAAACCTTGCTTATCATTGTATTGTCAATCACAAACATGGCCCGCCAATGGCATCCCAGAGCAGTCGCTCAAGTCACCCTCCGCGGCCTCCAATTCATCTTCGCCGTCATCAGCGCAGCACTCTACGGCGCCGACGTCGCCAACTGGTCCACAACCAATACACATGCCAACGCAAGCTGGATCTATGCCGAAGTTACCGCAGTTCTAGCTGCCCTGAGCTCAATAGCTCAATGGTGGCTCGCCCTTCCCCGCCCTGGAGCTGTGGTCTGGGATTGTGTTATCAGCCTCCTTTGGCTTGTCACTGTCGCAGTGTTTGCCCAAAACATATCCAACAGCACGGATATGGACCAAAAGTTCTCCATCAATAGAATTAAAGCTGCTGTGGCGATTGATGGTATCAACTTGGCCCTCTGGCTGGCTTCAGCCGTGGAAGCTTGCTGGTGCTGTGGACGAAAGAAGCAGAAACAACCCACAGCCGAGGAAGCCATGGAAGAGGTGGATATTGCCGAGAAGAAGAACCTCAACGATGAAGGGAATGTCACCAAAGAGAAGGATGCGAAAGTGGCACTTGATCCGCCATCATATGCCAAAGTGTGATATTGGACCATGGTGATAGGGGCGCAAGAAGTTGCAGGGGACGAGCCAAGACATAAGCAGAAGTGGAATCCTGATATTTTAAGTCTGTTCTGTTTAACTTGTTTATACGCTGGTGCGAAACTCCAATGATTACGTGTCTTCATGCCCTTTGCTTGGACACTTCTAGAGGCCATTCTAGCCACCCCAACAAGTCTGGACTGAGTAATCCCCTTATTGCATCGAGAAGATGCGCCGCCCACCCATCCATGTACCATGATCGTGTCATCGTATTAAACAAAGGGACGTAGTACGCCAATAAGAGAAGAGCCGGCGGTGCTTTCCGCTGGAGACATCCAACAAAGAGATCCTGCAGGCGGTAGAACCACCCAAAGACAAGCTTATTTGTCATTGGGCCGTTGTAAACTCCGTCCACATCACCATAGTTGGCTTCGTAAATCTCGCAGAGTGACTTGTGAGCTCTCAGAAATAACACGGTATCCGGTGTTTCGTTGGATGCAATCCATGCCCGCAGCTTCTCGAGAGGCTCAATCCACTGGAGGCGAGGGAATCCTTTGACAAGATACTCGGGCCTCGGGTCCTCCGGTTCTGGATCGGCGCCACCACCAAGGGGAGACATAAGCCCCGTGAATAATGTCGCAGGCTCAATGGATTGTCGAATCAATCTCACGCCGTGTATTAGTGGTAACCACCGCTGCGCAGCGACGTCTCCCACGCTGCAGAGGAGGAGGTCTTCAGGACCAGTAGGTCCTGCTGCAAAGGTACAATAACAGACAAGTACGGAAGCGACATATAGGGCACCGCAGTTTGTCTCGTTTAGGTTGGTCAATGTCTTGTTGAGCTCGGTCAATCCCAGCTCCGCGTGTTGCGCGGCGAGGGTGCGATTTCGAGCATGGCGTTCTGTCCCCTTGGGTTCTAGATAACCAAGGTGGTATCCGGCTAGAGAATACGCAAGATGGAGGACAAAATGGTATGATAATCCGATCTCGGGAACATTTCGTGCCCAGAAAACCGCAATGCTCTTTCGAGGATCATCAGAGTCGTGCAGCGTCCCAGCGGTTTGGGTAATGAAATGGAATAGGAATTCAGCATCGGCAACGTTCAAAGGACAAGCTATTGATGTTGAAGCTGTTGAAGAAGACGCCGGAGTAGCGGCGGCGGATGGCGGAGAAGTCTCGGCTCGCTCCGGTTGATGCGGGAGCGGTCTCGTCAAGGCGGCCCAATCTTTTCGTGGCCGGCCCGGACCACGGCGCGGCGTCGTGGAGGGCTCTCCTTGGACAGCACTGGAGTCAGGAGGCGACCTTGACGATGACGGGTCCTCGCCGGTTGGTGGCAAGGGAGCGAAATCGCAGGGAATCCCGAAGCGCACGCAGTTGGCGCAAGCAGGCTTCACCTCGTCGCACTGGCTTGGTCAGCACCGGACTGTAGTTGGATGGCTCGGAAGTCGTGGGTGGTTGCCAAACCGAAGGAGACGAACCTTTACTTTCCTCCTCTTACAGTTGAAGCAGCCATTTCTCGACTTGCGGTGAGGTCTTCGAGCCAACTTAGAGACCCTTGCAGAGGAGAGGCTCTCGGGACCAGACGGTTGAGGCGTCATGGGCTCCCGCGCGACACCCTGAAGGATGTATCGGTGAATGATAGCTTCAGGAGATGCAGCCAAGGCCACCGAGATGCCTGATGCTGATACACCGGCCCTCTGGTATGCTGTTTGGCCAGATTTCGTGATGTGAGTATCTTCCCGAGAAGCCGGGGATGTCTTAGAGGTGCCCGGCGGAAGCGCCGGACTGCTTCACCTTGGCGACCCCGAGAGATCAAGACAAAGAGTCGATATCTTTTGGCCCTGGGATGATACTGACAACTCAAGACTCGGGATCAGAGTGCCGAAGATGGGCGTCGTGAGATGCAGGGGATGGTCGGGTTGTCTGTCTGTTAGTTCAGCCACGACCGGCACCTCGGGTATTCCAGAACAAAGACCGAAGGTGTGGGTCAGATATTGATGATCTTGCGAGATCTATAAGACAGCTTCATGCAGATCCTATCAAGGGCAAGCGTAGAGAAGACGAGACAGGCTCTTGTCAAGTTATGAGGCTGGTCGGTTTATGTGAAAGTGAAATGAAATGGGGATTGGTTGAGCGAGGGGAGTGCTAAGTCGGCGGAGTTAACGGGCGTGGGTTTTTCGGATTTGCTGGAGCGAAAAATGTCCGATTTGCGACGGGAAGCCACTAATCCTCATTCAGCGACGGCTACGACGATACCAGTGAGATGGAAGCCGATGATGGGCTGCAAGCACGCGACGAGGGTTGTGGGGTTTAAATGAGCTTACGAAGCGATTCGCAAGCTGCTTGTTTTCCGCTTCCGACCGTCGTCGTGTAAATCACGACCCTATTTTCCCCCGTACCTATAAATGACGACTGCCCCTGATTCCGCAAGACGAAGACGACTATCCCATCTATTTTAGAACTCGAGGTCAAGAATGCTTACACACCAATTACCGCTGACTAACGGTGAACTGCATGTTAGCGCCAGATTCATCTAACAAAGCCCCATCGCATGACGAATATTCTTATTAATTCTCCGACACTCGTTTTTTTTTCGTCTTGAGGTTATTTTCCCCTTGGGTTTGGAGCCTCGGAGTCCGGCTCGAATACGTTATGAACTCTTTTTGCGTGTTCTCGGCTCCGGCTCCCCGCTGCTCTTGTTAACATGATTCTTCAACTCAAACTGTCTGCGATCGGTTAGACATCTCTACCATTCCGCATGACACCTAAACAGATCAGAGCTCAATTTCATTCTGTCACCCTCTCGAATGGCATGTCGCTCTCGCATTCGAATTCGGAACCATGGACCGCATCGGCTGATGTTCGGGTTCTTGGGAAACCCCGGGCTCCGGAAGGTGGGGGAGTTGAGACGAGACCGCTCATCGAGCCCTCATGACCTTGGTTAGAGAAGGTACCTAAACAACTTGGAGTGGCAGTTGTCTTCTCATTCTCCCAACTCTTGAGACTCACGTAGATCCGACTGTTCTTATCATAGATTTTTGTGCAGAAATACTGCATCAGTTATTAGGTTGGACCTATATCCGGCTGACTAACAAGGATCCAAGCATCCCTGTCTTTCATCTAAACTAAATGCTCACAGCGCCTTGAACGTCATCGAGCATTGCCCCAGCTAGCTTGGCTTGTCCCCCAAATCCCCCCCTTCGACTCGCCCAACCTCCCTCTCACGCTCTCGACAAAGCGGTCGATACTGGACAAGCCATGTCTACGTTCCGGTTACTCATCGAGGACGGTCAGTTCCGCGATAGCTATGGGCGTCAAGTCGTGCTTCGCGGCATCAACGTTGCTGGCGATTCGAAACTCCCTAGCGAACCCGATCAACCATCTCACGTCGGCACCGACTTTTTCGACGGCGATAATGTCACCTTTCACCAGCGGCCGTTTCCAAAGGAAGACGCGCGAATGCATTTTGCGCGACTGAAGCGCTACGGCTTCAATACTATTCGCTACATCTTCACGTGGGAGGCGATCGAAGCGGCTGGGCCTGGACACTACGATGAGGAGTTCATTCAGCACACGATTGATATCCTGAGGATAGCCAAGGAGTATGGGTTCTACATATTCATGGACCCCCATCAAGATGTCTGGTCTCGATTTACAGGCGGTTCCGGCGCTCCTTTGTGGACTCTGTACGCTTGCGGACTCAACCCCCAGAGCTTTGCTGCGACAGAGGCGGCCATCGTTCAAAACACCTATCCCAACCCCGACGAGTTTCCCAAGATGATTTGGTCGACAAACTACTATCGACTTGCTGCCGGCACCATCTTCACATTGTACTTTGCTGGCAAAGACTTTGCCCCGAAGTGCATCATTGATGGCGTCAACATCCAGGATTATCTCCAGAACCATTTCATGAATGCCTGTGGCCATCTGGCACAACGGATACACGAGGCTGGTGACCTTGAGAATGATGTTGTCATTGGTTGGGAGAGCATGAACGAGCCTAACAAGGGCATGACGGGCTATAAAGATCTCAGCGTGATCCCCAAGGAGCATCCATTGAAGAAGGGCACTTGCCCAACAATGTGGCAAACCCTCCTAACTGGCATGGGCCGTGCTTGCGAGGTTGACACATGGGACATGGGAGGACTTGGCCCTTACAAGACTGGAACCAAGCTCGTTGACCCCCACGGCGAGATTGCCTGGCTGCCCGTCGACTATGACGACTCAAGATACGGATGGAAGCGTGATCCAGGCTGGAAACTCGGCGAGTGTATCTGGGCACAGCATGGTGTTTGGGACATGGAGACAGATACGCTTCTCCGGAAAGATTACTTCGCCAAGAACCCACGTACCGGCAAGGCCATTGACTATCCCGAGTTTACCAACACCTACTTTATGGACTGTTGGCGCAAATATGTCAAGACATGCCGAGGAATCCACAAGGACTGCATCATGCTCATGCAGTTCCCCACACTGGAGCTACCGCCCGAGATCAAGGGAACCGAGGACGACGACCCGAGAATGGCCTTTACTCCTCACTATTACGATGGTATCACCCTGATGACGAAACATTGGAATAGCACATGGAACGTCGACGTGGTGGGTGTGTTGCGAGGCAAATACTGGCATCCAGCACTGGCTATCAGAATTGGAGAGACGGCAATTCGCAATTGTCTCAAGGAACAGCTTGCAACACTCAGGAAAGAGGGCCTTGACCGCACCGGAAAGCATCCTTGTGTGTTGACAGAGTTTGGCATTCCCTATGACATGGATGACAAGAAGGCATACAAGACTGGTGACTACTCTAGCCAGTCAGCAGCTCTTGATGCCAACTACTTTGCCGTTGAGGGGGCAGGACTTGAGGGCCATTGCCTATGGGTGTACTGTGCGAGGAACGAACACCAGCGAGGAGATTTCTGGAACGGCGAGGACTTGTCGATCCTGTCGCTAGACGACAAACCTCTGCCGGAATCACCTGTGCCAGACTTCGGTCAGTCATCGTTGAACCTCGTCAAGACGGCAACCACAAACGCCACCAACAATGCCAGCAAAGACGTGGCTGACGATCGGACTGTTACACCTAATAACCTTAAGCGAACAATCACAAATCCATCCATCAGCTCGGCGCCATCTACAAAGGATCCCCAGCTGACCAATGCCCCCGGATACCGTGCCGCTGAAGCTTTTGTTCGGCCTACCCCTACAGTAGTTTATGGCGATGTTCTCTCGTCTGGGTTCAATCTGCGACAAGGCACATATGAGCTCAAGTTGAAGGCACCAAAGGATGCGCCCGACGAGGCGCCCACTGTTGTGTTCCTGCCGGAGTATCACTTCCCCAAGGACCAATGTGAGGTGGCTGTGTCATCTGGCAAGTGGGAGTTGAGCACGGATGATGACGAAGGAACAACGTTACAGAGGCTCAAGTGGTGGCACGCGGAGGGAGAGCAGAGCCTCAAGATCTCGGGCCTGGTGCGAAAGCACAATGTTCCAGTGGGCTCTGATGAGGAGGCAGGGTATCTGGAACAGTGCCAGCAGGGCTATGGATACAATTTTGGCAGCTGCAGCGTCATGTAACGCTTTAAGAGGAGGGGTAAAGGCTTGGTTACTGCAATTCACGTTTGGGTATTGGTGATTGATAGCATCTTGAGATGCGTATGGAGTTTGGGTTTGAACAAGAGGTGGAATTACACGACTACACAGGTTGATAAAGCAACGTTAGAGATACTGGTCCGCACATGCAATCCACTAAGACATTGGGAAATTAGCGATACGATTTCAAGACCGGATACGAAGAGAGCTGCCGATCCATGGGTTAACGACGGAGGGCGCCAGCAAGGTCTGAAGTGCTGTAGCCAGCCCACTACAGTCTGTATCTCGGTCTTCATCACGAACTTGGCCTTCGGTAGACTCCCTGCTGATGTTGCGGACCTCCTAGTGTGACGCCACCACGACTTGCAAACCAATTGCTCGGCCGGCGGGCAATGGCATGGTCATGGTCTGTGGAGAAGGCCAGGACCCAATGTCTTGGGTTGAATAGTGGCCCTCCGGCTTTGAGACGACTTTAAATCTGGGTCAGCGGCCCCTCGTATTTGTCTGGCTTGACTTTGTGCCCTGGAACCGATCCAGGGGGGCTTGCGTCAGTTAAGGGTCAAAGGCTGAGCCGAGCCAGGGCTGAGAACTGTTGGAGGCGACGCGGAGACAAGGGGCTCGCTGCCTTATCTACTACGGAGGCTGTGTCGGAGTCGGACAATGAATGGCGAGGTTGAGTTGATAGTTAAAACGTCACCCCCGAGGCTTTGCTTGCTTGCGTGCATTCCTCTCCTGCGAGGCACCTAACGATCACATCTGCTGTATGCCTCTCAACCTTGAGCACCCCCGTCAGCAAACGGCCGTACAACTGGCGGCACCCCTCTCAGAGCCAGTTGGACGGACCCGATTCGCCAGGGTACCCCCCTCCACCAGGTCGCACAGCTAGCACACGTCCGCGAGTGCTCTCTATCACACCCTGTCCGCGCACCATCCCAACTGTCGCCAAGCGCCAGGCGCCTGCGGGCGAGCGAGACGGAGCAGTGGCTGGGTTCCTTTGCTTTGAGGGGACGTGAGTTGGAGGATAAGGGCTTGAAAGAGTCGCCAATGCCACGGGGCCGAGCGCCCTCGCCCTCCAATCTATCGGTGGTACAACACATTGGGCTCTTGAGTTTGCGACTCATATCTGAGCCATTACACGTGGTGACTCGGAGGATAAGCAGGCCGGCCGCAGATCTGCTGCTACTGTGCGGTAGGTAAAAGTAAGGCATCCATCCATCTCTATCTGATCCTTCTCCCCGTCCGCCGAGCAACACCAACACACCATCAACACCCGACTCAATCAACAACAAAAAACAACAATCCTCAATCCACTCCTCCAGCGCCCATCCTGGCCAGGCCCGGCCCAGCCCCGGTATCCTTGTCCATCCGACCCACTCAACTCCACGCCATGTTACTCCACCGCAGGCACAAGCCATGAATAGCGATAGCTTGCGACGGGTTTCCCGTCCCGCTGCCAATTTCGACCTGCCACTGGCTCCGGGTAAGGCTCAGGCACAGGCCCTTCATCCTCAACCTCTAGCGACAACGACGACGACACCACCAGCAACAGCAGCGGCGTCTCACCAGGCTCTGGCAAAGGCCAGACTCCAGTCCTTCTCGCGGCCCAGCCTTCAGGACCTCGCCCTCGTCGACGGCTCCTCCACCGACCACGCTCCCGCCTATGCCCTCTCTTCGACGGCTCCGTCCTCCTTCTCGTACCCTCCCGCTGTCGCCCCGGCCGTGAGCTCGCCCCCCCGGCCGCTGGGCTCATCCTCCTCCGACCTGCCGACGACCTCCGCACCCGCCCACTTCCTCCACCCCGTCTCATCTGCCTCGAGCTTACGTCCCCGAGCGTCGACCGCCAGCGCTTCCTCCTCCTTGCACACGCCTCCGTCTCTGCCACGAATTCTCACGTCGCCGTCCCTCTTTGATCCTCAGATCTCTGCCCATTTTGTTCCTCGAGGCGGGCTGCCCCCCGCGCCGCCCAACATGTATCCGGCTGGCCAGAGACATGTCTCGGGCGCCGATCCCACGAGGCCATTCCAGGTCCCTCCGCCGCCGCCGCCCATGGGAGGTCCGAATGCCGGCCAGATGGGAACCATGATGAACCTGCCGCCTCCGCCGCCTCGATATCCCGCCGCGCCAGGCGCCTCCGGCGTAATGATCCCCCCACCTCCCGGTCCGCCTCCGGCGAGTGCCCTCGGCCAGCAGCCTCCGTGGCACGGCGCATTTGGGCGCATGTACGACGGGCGGCCTGGCTTCAACATCCCGCCGCCGCCGCCCGGCCAGCACCAGCCGTACAACCCCAAGTTGCACGCCCAGATCGCCGCTGGGCAGACGGTTTCTATCCCTCCTCCGCCCCCGCCGACTGAGGCCATGAGTGCGACCTACATACCGCAAGGCGACACGTACGGAGAGGGCGTTGGTATCCCCGCCTTTGGTCTGGAAGACGGAACCCTGACTGCCAACTCGCAGACATCATGGCCAGTCACGACGCCTCAAAGCGGAACTGACACAAATGCCACTACTCCTATGGACGGCCTGCACTCGGCTACTAACACTCAGCTGCGAGGTGCTTCCAACTCGTCCAACGCGACTGCCATTCCACCGGAGGTTGCTTCCCAGTGGCCCCTCGATACCGTCTTGATCTGGCTGGCCAAGAACCAGTTCTCCAAGGATTGGCAGGAGACCTTCAAGGCCCTCAACTTGCAGGGGACACAATTCCTTGAGCTCGGCAGCGGTCACGGCGGCCGCGGAAACTTTGGCATGATGCATCAGCAAGTATATCCTAGACTCGCCCAGGAGTGCACCAACAGCGGCACCGGCTGGGACCAGCCCCGTGAGCGCGAGGAGGGCAAGAGAATGCGACGGCTCATCAGGAGCATTGTGACTGGCCGACCAGCTGATGCGTCAAAGATCTCGAGCTCTCACGGCCACAAGGAGTCCCTCAATGGCGGACATGGGAACAACTTACCAAGTGCTGGAACTGACCCCATGGACTCGCCCAACGTTTGTTCCCCTGATTAGCTTTTAAATGTTGCTTGCTGACTTCTTTGCAGACGCCTCTTACGGCACCTGGCCCTGGCTTTAGCACTCGGCGCTTCTCGCAGACGAGGGCGACGACAATGCCTAACAGCATTAGCAGCACCAATATCGCCGCAGATTCAAATCATCGAAATATTCTAAAGCATGTCGATACAGACGGTGCTCGTCGCCACAGCCCCAACGTCAGCGAGTCGGGCGAGGGAGCGACATTCCGTTCAGCTGCCGCACGATCAGCGAGCCCCAATGGCAGTCCTGGCATTCCGCCAGCGCTATTCACATCTTCAACTACACCTGTACTCTCACAGTCCCCCAACACAATCAAAGGTGGACATCGATCGCGGAGCAGTCTGGATTCGGTCTCATCGAGTGCCGCCATTTATGGATCTGGAGTTCCCCCCGATGCTGCAACCATGCTTAGCCGAGGCATGAATTTGGGAGATATGGTTCATAGTGGTCGAAGTCACGACATTCGGTCCCGTCAGTCTCCCCTTGAAGCAGGAGAGAGGTCAGCGGGCGGCGAGACACCAGCTTCGGCCAAAGACTCCAAGAGCTTCCTCAGTTTCCTGTCAAGAAAGAAGAGGCAGAATCCAGAAGAGATGGACTCTCCAACTTCGCCGCAAGGTACCATGAAGCCTATGGGACTAGGGGTACGAGGAATGAACGGCAGTGACCCCAGCCTAGATCATCCAGGAACGGGCTTTGGGCCTGATGACAGAAACGCCCACATGGTACATCAACGACCAAGACGAATTAACCCAGTCAGAACCTATGTTCTGGCTACCATGGACTATTGGAACTTCAGAATGTGCGACATTACTGAGGCGGAGTCTCCTGCAGAGGTCCGACAAGTCATCTGCATGCATCTGGGTCTGGGTGACTTTGAGAACTCTTATATCTATCTCACTGAAGTTGGAAAGTTTGACCACATGGATCCTCTGGACGATCAGAGTCTTCTGACGGTCAAGAGAGTCAAGGGTGATCCTCTTGGAACACTAAAGTTTTTCGTTACTCCGCCTGGAGTACCCCCTGCTAACAGCCTGACTGTGGCCGCAGATGTTCCAGCCTCGCTGGCCCCTGGCTACCTTGCCCCAGGAACATCACCCGATGACACGCAACGAAATAGCAGGCAGCGATCTAGCTCATCGCCGCCGACGTCTCGGTCCAACACGCTGACAGATGACAAGATTGACGAGAAGACTGAGAAGACTCTTGCACAAGAGGCAAGCACCTACAGGGCCGAGATGGAGAGGAAGCAACGCGAGTATCTTGCCAAGAGGAAGCAGGCTGCAAAGAGCAGCCCATCTGAGTCGATTGGCCCTGGTATTGTCGGCAGAAATGTCGATTTTGACCAACCTCGAGAATCGCCTTACGAAGACAAGCGCCCTGATCAACTCTTCCCTCAGAGAAAACCCCCCGCACCGCCCAGCGACCCATCTGCCACATTGATCAAGGCCAATTCATTGAGTAAGAAGTCAGGCCAGGGCCTACGATCATCCAGCAGCAGCCTCGAGGGCTATCCTACGCCTAGACACCCGCCGATGGTCACTGGAGAGAGCGAGATGACGGAGAAGGGCAAGAAGGCCAAGCTTGTGCCCCAAGCCAGCGGCATTGGCATTGGAGCGGCGCTCGCAGGTATGGGAAGGAACCTGAGCGCGATTGGACAGTCCAATGTCAAGAATAATCGTGGTGTATCCCCCAACCGGATGTCGACGCAGCCAATCCCCGGAGGTAAGGATAACAACTCTAGCGTTGATTTCTTTCAGCACAACATGGGTCGAAGCAGTCGTGGTTCGGTAGCGACACCAGGTTCTGTAACCTGGAGCAAGGGGAACTTGCCTTTTGTCGTACCAGACTACTCACCCAGCGAAACGCCCCCGCCCGGCGATAAGCCAGCAGGTGTATCAGAAGCTAAGTTATATGAAACAGTGCCAAGGGCATCATCCCCGGCGGAGATGAGCCCC